GCTATTTTAGTCTTCACCATCCTTTTAAGGTCTTTTCAAGATCCATAGCATGACTGAGGTCAGGGTGTTATCCTGCAGAGGCACTACTGGACGCCTTTCTCTGTAGGTCCCAGGTAGGCAGAGCTGTTCTTATTCCACAGATAAGAGGGGCCAGGATCAAGAACCAGGGCCATTTGAGAATCTGCTGATGGACAAGGGTTAGAAAATCTGCCACAGGAACTTGGATACGCATGTCTCCTGGCAGGACTCTGGCTGGGTAAAATTGTTCTCAGGCTATATAGCTAGGAGAAACTGAAACCAAGCTTCAGAGTTAATTCAGAATGTGTTGTGGGACCAATGTTGGTAAGCTTAACCTGGTGGCACCCCCAGTAAAGACTCCCAGCAGTTCCTTAGGCAGGGAGATTGCCTGCATTCTGTAGCTGGGTCATTCAAGGCTCTTTCCAGAACTGCTGTGGGATGGAGGCCAGCAGGCCTGTCCTGCACAGGCATGATAATTGGCAGGCTGCAGTAGAGAGGACCTGGAGTCAAGACCTCTTTAAGATCTGTTATGGAAAAGAGGCATCAAACCTGTCCTGGTGGCTGGGGCAGGTGCTTCACCCAGCAGTTCCCAACACAGTCAAGATAGCTTCTTGACTGCAGCAAAGAGGCACTGAAGCTGAGACAGGGCCCCTTCAGGATCTGTTGTAGGATGGAGGACTGCAAGCCTGTCCCAGTGGCTCAGATAAGTGCATCTCTTGGTAGTTCTCTGTGTGAGTGGGATACTGCCAGGCTGCAGCAGGGAGGGGCTGCAGCCAGTACATGTCCCCTTCAGAATCTGCTATGTGACAGAGGCCGGCAAGCCTGTCCTGGTGGCTCAGGTGAGCATGTTTCTCTCTGGGTCCTTGTGCAAACAGTACTAAGCTAGCACTACAGTTCGAGGAGGGCAGGATCCAAGTTACAGGCTAAGTTGGGTCCACTGCCAAGACAAATGTTGACAGATGAAAGAACCCTTGTATGATTCCTCCTGGACCCCTTGACAGATAGTTTTGGCTGCAGGCTCTAGGCCAAACAGAGCTGTAGCTAAGCCCTTCAAGGAATGGGGCCATTTCTGCATATGAACCTGGGAGCACAATTAGCAGGTCTCCCACCTGGCTGTTAGTATGCATTCAAAACAACACATCTAGGTCTTGAGTTCTACTGGGGTTTTGCAACCTCCTACCTGAATCTAAAGGCTCCCATGAAAAGACTTTTGTCTGTGATAGGTACAGAATTCTTATTTTGGGGGGATATGAGCAGGTGACCTCCTATTCTGTCATCTTGGCATCACTCAGAAGTAGTCTCTTAAAAAGATTTTTTCTAAGATTGAGATATTTAGGATATAACTATTTTTCATATGTATACACAATTTAGAAAATTTAAGAAATAATTTCTTCATTTATATTTTTAAAATAGTTCAATTATATTTGTTTCCCTTGGGCTTATGCAAGAGAAGAAGGAATTAAAAGCATCTATGGGAAGGTTGGGTGTATCTGCCTCTCAGGGGATTTGTCTTGAAATTGTTTCCTTTTAGTTTGTATAATATATTTTATTGAACATACCATAAATGCCGCCTAGAGCATAGCCATTTCCTACTGAGATTAGTATGAATTTTAATACCTAGATGACTATTTTATATATGGATGCCACATATTAATGGATTTCTTTTTCATTGGAAACTATGTTTCTAAATAATTAAAACATTAGAATAGCCGGAGAAGCTAATTTTGTACATTTTGTTTTTCCTTTCTCTGTCTGAGAGAGTTATGTGAAAACTAGTATAATTAATACTCAATAGTTTTAATGGAATTTTTAGAAACATCCCTTATTTTCGTAGGCTACATATTGAGAGAACTTAATCCAGAAACCGTCAGACTTTAGGGACCCAGAAATTGTCCAAAACGTTAAAGGGAGTTCTTAGTACAAAATGTCCTTAACCTAGAGGCCACAGATGTTGTGAAATTATTTTGCCAGAATTTTTCAATTCATTTTTCTGGAACAAGAACCCGTAGTTGTTATCAGACGTGCAAAGTAATTCATGGACCCCCCCCCCCCCCCTTCTGAAAAAAATAAGACCCAGTGTTTTATGTAGTTAAAAGATGAACTAATTTGCAGCTACTTTTCAGACTTCTGTGTGGCTAGCCCAAAGGGCCATGATTGTTTTTCCTCAATATCATTGTTTAGTTTCTTACCCTTTTTTCTTTTTAAAGGAAAAAAGAATTCTATGCCAAAGCTATTATTTACATTTTACCTACAAATTAAAATTATTTCTTCATTTCATAGGTATTATATCCAAAGAAGTAAAAGTCTGTAAGTTCTCCACAGGGTTTCATTTTAGCTTGTTTTAAAATCTGCATATTAATGAAGTGCAAAATGTCATGCATGTCTTAACCATTGGAGTTAATAAAACTAGTTTTTATGGAAGGGAGTAGCCTTGTGTCATGATTAAGAGCATGGTCTCTAGAGTGAAACTGCCTGGATTTAAGCCCCAGTTTTGCCACTTATAAACTCACTGCAGATTCAATCCTATTATGAATTATTGGTAACGCCTTGGGAAAGTCATTGAATCTCAGGGCTTCCTATGTTTCTCCACCCTTGAGGCAGAGACCAGGTGCTCACCAAGGTCCCTTCTGACTTTAAAATTTCATCTAATTTTGGTATGTTTTTTATATGTAAAAATAATATGACATAAAACTAACTTTTGGCATAAGTGGTAATAATTTTTCTAATATTTTTCTCACATCATTAATATATTTAGTTCATAAGAAAAATTGGAGCTTATTGAATTGAGTCAACACAGAGATTACAAAAATACCACAGAATATATGACATGTATCACAATGTAATTTTTCTTCCATTTTAATCATAGTTGAGGGGAGAAATACTCCTACTCCCTTCTTTTTAAATTTCTTTTTCTATTTTTTATTAAACACGATGCTCAACTTTCTAATCTAAATAGACACATAATTTAAAAAAAAAAGTTTTTATAGAGATGGGGTCTTGCCATGTTGCCCAGGCTGGTCTCAAACTCCTGGGCTTAAGTGATCTGCTCGCCTTGGCCTCCCAAAGTGCTAGCCACTGCGCTAGGCCCTTTATTTTTAATTGGACACAAATTTTAAGGTTACCTAAAAGATTATGTAATAAAAACTTAACCTGTTCAAAAACAGTTTTGAAATATCTAGTCATGTTAATCTAAAAATTGGAGTCTATGTGTATATAGCAAAATATGTTTGAAAACCTACATCTTGGGGCAGGATTATCTAAAAAGGAATAAAAGTCAAATTATAGCCTTAGGACATGGTTTTCATAAAATTTTTGTCAAAAATCACCAAAGCTGTAGATAACTTTCTAGTGGGAATATAGTGACATGAAATGCTTAAATAGTATGTTTTAGAGGGAGAATGAAAAATGTCAAGTATCATCATACTTGAGAGATAAGAAAAATCTTTACCATCTACCTATTTATCTTGGTGTATTTAATTTTATAATTTTTACTACCTGGAGATTTAAGTTAAATATTTTATTTCACCTACTGACAATTACCATTTAAATCTGCAATATTTTCACATGTAACAATGGATTCGTTGTTGATCAGATCATATGTTTAAATCATTTTTCCTTTTCACACACTTTAACTTTATGCTCGGCATCTTAAACATGTCATTGGGACATTACACTTTTATTTTTACAAAAGTTAATTATTTTCTATATATAAGAACCAGTAAAGGGGGAAAATTTTCTTTTCTAAATGAGTATTCTTTAAATGTTTTCATTATCTAAGGCCCTACTACCCTGAATGTACCCGATCTCTTCTAAATATTTTTTAAATTAAGATTTATTTTTGATCCTTCTTTATCGAAAGTTAATTCTGCCTTTTTCTTTTTATGTTTAATGTGCCTACTTGGAAATTTTAAATTACATGTGTCTGATACTATGTTTCTCTTGGATAGCACTGACCTAAAATAGGAGTGTCAACACTTGCACTAGTCTGAAATTTTAAATTACATGTGTCTGATACTATGTTTCTCTTGGATAGCACTGACCTAAAACAGGAGTGTCAACACTTGCACTAACCTGAAATTTAAAACTAGTCAGGACTCAGTTAAACATCCAGGAAATATTTAAATAAGATACTATTCTCAAGCCCCTTAAATACTATTAGAATTGCTTTTGCTCTGTAAGTACTCATCTGATTATGAAGATTAAATAGTTCTAAGGGAAAAAGTTTATCTTGGTTATGTGTGGTTTACTTGTTTTGAACAAACTTTTTGGTACTCAGATATTTAATGCTACAGATATTTTGGTAGAAAGGAAACCTCAATAAAAATACTACTACCTTTATGTTTTTATGTGATTGAATAATATAATGGAATACAATATTTCCTCTGGAATAAATCAAGGTAATAGTTGAAATTCCATTCCTGTGTAACTGGTGAAAAGTAGTAATATTGTAAAGGCACTGCATGAAACTACCCTAATCAAACCTAGATTCCAAATCAGAACTCATTACAAAGTACACTAATATAGAGCCAGATGAATACTTTTTGGGAAAAAAAAAAAAAAAACCTTATAAAATTAATGCATTTCTATACTTAACTGACTGAAAACAAAAATCTAGTAAAAGCACATTTTTTAATGTTAGATTACCACTTTACTCCCTCTCCTCTAAGTGATGCATACTAATTTGCTGCAGACATTATTGTAGCTTTATTAACAGATGATATAGCTACTTGAAGGCAGGGGGTGGGGGGCATGCTGAGGTTTTTTTTTTTAATTTATTTGCTTTTTGATATGTTTTGGGTGATATTTCTAGTATTTTTAAATAATGAGGTGCTTTGCTGTGATAGCTTGAAAAATTGATCTCTCAGTCCTTTCTAACTGTTGGGTGATTCTGAGGCAGTGAATCAGTGCCTATTTTGGGGCGGTGGGGGCTTTGCTTTATTAACTATTGTTTTGCTCTGTTACCTGTTCACATGCTCTTACAGATGCAACTAATTCATGAAATTTCGAACTTAAAGAATTTAGTTAAGCATGCAGAAGTATATAATCAAGATCTTGAGGTGAGCATTCATGTTGGTATTTCTATTGATAAGCAATTAGAACTATAAAATATGCAACATAAAACATTATTTCAGAAATAGAGAAATTATGTTTTTAAAATATGACTTTGAATTTTACTATAAATTTAAACTTTTGTGTGTGTGTGTGTGTGTGTGTGTGTGTGTGTCTGTGCGCGCGCGCACGCTGTTTTAATCCCTTAAACTTCAAATCGGATTCTAAATTGTTTCTCTCTCCTTTGATTCTTTTAGAATGAACTAAGTTCTAAAGTAGAGCTGCTTAGAGAACAGGAAGACAAGATTAAGAAGCTACAGGAATACATAGCATCTCAAAAGCTAGAAAATATAAAAATGGACTTGTCATACTCATTGGTAAAAATCAGGCTTATTTTATTGTATAATCACATTGTTATATATAGCATACTATCATCTTAGCAAATGCTTATACTGGGCCTACTTTGTGCTGGGTATCGTTGTAATAAATTTATATATTTTTTTTATTTAGTCTGTTAATAACCCTATGAGATAGGGACTGTTAGTATAGTTGACATTTTAGAGATAAAGTCATATTTTTAGAAATCTGATCATATCATGCTTTGAATAAATAAAAGGAAGTTAAGGACAGGCTCCCATTAAGAATCAGTAAATTGTAGGCCAGGCACAGTGGCTCATCACTGTGATCCCAATACTTGGGGAGGCCAAGGTGGGAGGATCACTTGAGCCCAGGAGTTCAAGACCAGCCTAGGCAATATAATGAGACTAGTCTCTACAAAATATATAAAAATAAGCCAGGCATGGGCAGCCAGTTCCCAAGGTGACTGAGGTGGCAGGATTACTTGAGCCTGGGAAGTTGAGGCTGCAATGAGCCAAGATCATGCCACTGCACTCCAGACTGGGCACAGAGCAAGACCCTATCTCCCAAAAAAAAAAATAATAATAATCAGAAAATTTTTAAAATTCTGAATTTTTTTCAATATTTTTATATAAATCCATGCAGTGGTATATAGTCAAGATCTTAAACATTTAAACTTGGATATTTTTCATGATTTTATAGCTCTAGATGATTTTAGTTGATATAAAATCTTGGCTTGATTTATCAACTAAATCTTAACATAAGATTTAGTTTATAACATAAGATTTAGTTGATAAAAGATTATTGTTATTTATAACATTGGATGCTGATGTCATTTAATCTCTTTTCACTTTCCTTTCAATATAACTGATTACTTCAAGAAAGTATGTTTGGTTCCAGTTTTTAATACCTTTTCTTTTTTAAGGTAACAGTTTCTAGCTGGAACTTTTAAAAGATTAGTTTCTGTTCTTCTGTTTTTAATTGAGTTTTTTAGTTTTTGTTACCTTCTATTCTTTTGTTGCCTTCTATTTGTGACAGACGATTTTTTTTAATGGGTTAATACCACTTTATTCTGAAGCCATGTATAGGTATGCATTTTCATATATTCTGGAATGTCTGTTCATAGAGTGGCAAGCAGAACTGCCCACTTTTTAAAAATTATTATTTTTCCTTATTCATTCATGTATTTATTAAATTTTTTCCAAGGACATATCATGGATTTCATATAAGCTAAAGTCATATTAAAATGCCACTTCTCTTTAGAAATGAGGTTATAAATTTTTTTCATGTATTTTTCATTTGCATTTTCTCATCTGTGAGTTTCTTGTTCATATCTTTTCTCTGTTTTTCTATTAGATCATTTGTCTTTTTCCTTTTTCAATTTGTGGGTTAATATCTTTAACTGTTAACTACTTACCTATCATGTGTTAGAGAGAATAACTCAAAATAAAAATACATAGAGAACTTCAACAGCCTCATGGAACAACAGTTATGTTAACCTTTAAACAAAATACATCTAAATAATGGTAGTTTGATACATTGCTTATATAATTTGAAAACCGTGGCCAGAATTTTTTTAAAGTACTTTTATTAGGAAAACATGATTTCTTTTCATTTATTTGGTAATTAGCATATTGTGCACTTTTTGGTTAGCTAGTATTAACATTTATATACATCTTAAGTATTTTCCAACGCTGTGAAAATTGGATTTCACTGAACCCCTTTCGTCATCTATCTAGGAAAGCATTGAAGACCCAAAACAAATGAAACAGACTCTCTTTGATGCTGAAACTGTAGCCCTTGACGCCAAGAGAGAATCAGCCTTTCTTAGAAGTGAAAATTTGGAGCTGAAGGAGAAAATAGTAAGTATTTTTTGTAATATTTATAATAAAGTAGTTGTAATGATCAGTACAGTTTTGTGCATTCACAGTGTTCCTCTCAATAGAAAGAACTTGCAAGTACATACAAGCAAATGGAAAATGATATTCGGTTATATCAAAGCCAGTTGGAGGCAAAAAAGAAAATGCAAGTTGATCTGGAGAAAGAATTACAATCTGCTTTTAATGAGATAACAAAACTCACCTCCCTTATAGATGGCAAAGTTCCAAAAGGTATTTTGTAATTTTAAACATCTTTTTTCAAATTTGACTTCCTCTAGAAATGTTACCTAAACAATTTGACAAGCACATTTCAATGATTAAAAATTCATTATACTCTGATTTTTTAATAACTCAATGTTAGGCTTTAGTGTCATTTGGTATTAATATTTATAAAGATTTCCATGGGTTTCCAATCATAAAGGATTATTTTTCAAATAAGCTTTACCTGATCCTAAAAAGGTGATTCAAGGGCTATTAAAAATTAAATTACCTGTTTGCCAACATTGCATCTTTATATAACTTACCAAAACTTTGTAGATCTGCTGTGTAATTTGGAATTAGAAAGAAAAATGACTGATCTTCAGAAAGAACTGAATAAAGAAGTTGAGGAAAATGAAGCTTTGCAGAAAGAAGTCAATTTACTTTCGGAATTGAAATCTTTACCTTCTGAAGTAGAAAGGCTGAAGAAAGAGGTAAACACATTTATAAGCACTTATCCTTTATTTTAAAATAAAAACCTTTGCGATAATAGTGCCTTAAATATTTTGATATAATTTATTTTAAACTAGCAGGCAAGAGATGCTGTAAACATTTGACTAGTCAGCAAAAAAGTGAATATAATTCATCTTCTGATTTGTTCTTATGCTACTAGATTGAAAAAATATATTTTTTCAAGGTGTACTTAACACTATACTTAGTAATATAATCCATGTAGCAGCCATTTCTGTAGTCCTCAGACGTTGCATTTATACAATATTAAGGCCCACCCTTAGTCTTTACCATTTTTTTTTGGTAGTAGTCATATCATTATACTGAATAAAAGACAGTAATGAGCTTGACAGAGTTTTAGAGTTAATGCAAACCTTGCAGGTGGATAAGTGATTCTGTAAATCTATGGCCTGCTAGTCCTTCTACTTGTCTAAAAGAAAAATGGCAAAAATTTGAGTACTTACTGTATGGCAAACATGCTAAAGAACTTGAAAAACATTTCATTTACTTGTCTTATAAACTCTTCAAAAGTGGATACTGTTTTTTAGCCCCAATAACCTGTTCTCAAACTAATAGTTGAGCCACACAAATCTGCCCCCTAAACCCGTGGTTGTCGCTACTATGCTGTATTGTCCCTCTTTACTTTGTCTCTCCTTTATCTCTTTTTTTTTCTCATCTCCTCTGCCCTTATCTTTCACAGTGATTAAACTGTTAATATACAAGATATATGTTATTTAAATTATCTAATTATTTATTACTTAAGTAATACTTTTTTTCCCCCCATGGGCCATACCTGAAAGTTAAGATACTTCTTAAATAATAATTTTAAATAATTAAACATTTCTTAAATTATTCATTGATTAAGTTTTTTTGGAAATCTGGGAGGCATTCAAAGCCTTTAGGGAAGAAAAAAAAAAAAATGTCAAATTCTGAGAAATGCCTGCCACTTGATAAAGTTAGAAAACACTTTAGAATGAATAGGTAAGAAAATAAAGACATCTTGATTATGTACCTTTACTGACTGTTCTCCATGCGGGCCTTACTAGTATACAAAGAGATTAGAAAATAAAATATTGAAGATTAAACAAGCTGAGTTAGAGAAAAGTGACAATAAGAGTACTAATATATTGCCTTTCCTCAGTCAAATTTTTGCTCAATGTAAATAATTTCTCCTTTTGCAGAGAAAGTTTTTTTCCTAAAAATTGCTTCAGTGAATCATATATTGCTAACATTCCTAAATTTTGTTTCTTTTTCATAGATACATGACAAATCTGAAGAGCTCCATATAATAACATCAGAAAAAAATAAATTGTTTTCTGAAGTAGTTCATAAGGAGAGTAGAGTTCAAGGTTTACTTGAAGAAATTGGGAAAACAAAAGACGACCTAGCAACTACCCAGTTGAATTATAAAAGCGCTGAACAAGAATTCCAAAATTTCAAAACCCTTCATAAGGACTTTGAGCAAAAGTATAAGATGGTCATTGAGGAGAATGAGAGAATGAATCAGGAAATAGTTAATCTCTCTAAGGAAGCACAAAAATTTGATTCCAGTTTGGATGCTTTGAAGACCGAGGTTGGTACAAGATGCCATTTTGAGAAATGCTCCTTAGTCTTCTGGGGTTTTGGTTTCTGTATAGATGTATGCCTCAGACTCCTCTGCTTTTACTGTGTGACATTTACTTTTTCTTTTTTAAAGCTTTCTTACAAGACCCAAGAACTTCAGGAGAAAACATGTGAAGTTCAAGAAAGATTAAATGAGATGGAACAGCTGAAGGAACAATTGGAAAATAGAGATTCTAGGCTGCAAACTGTAGAAAGGGAGAAAACACTGATTACTGAGACACTGCAGCAAACCTTAGAAGAAGTAAAAACTTTAACTCAAGAAAAAGATGACCTAAAACAACTCCAAGAGAGCTTGCAAATTGAGAGGGACCAACTCAAAAGTGATATTCACGATACTGTAAACATGGTAAGGTTTTGAATGATTAAACTTTGAAAAATTGGACTCCTAGAAACATTGCAGAAGCCGTCATTTATTATTTATGATTATGTAATAGCTATAAAATAATTTTGTTTCATATTCTAATGGAAATTTTTTTTTATTTCTCTAACAAAGAACATAGATACTCAAGAACAATTACGAAACGCTCTTGAGTCTTTGAAACAACATGAAGAAACAATTAACAAACTAAAATTGAAAATTTCTGAGGAAGTTTCCAGAAATTTGCACATGGAAGAAAACACGGGTCAAACTAAAGATGAATTTCAGCAAAAGGTAAAGGGTATTTACTTTCAAAGTTTTCATATATGTATACTCTTTAACCTCAAGTACTTAAACATGTAATAATACTCTCAATTTTGTTATTCACCATGATTACCATTGTGAATTTTATAAGCTCATCCCTAATGCCTTTGAAATAATTTATTATAGAATGTAACTATTTATAATCAATTAAAAGGGAAAGGGCCAAAAAAGCATTAGTCCAAATTTTGCATAGCTGATACTTATTTTGTGTCAGATTTTCTATACTGAACTTGCTTAGAGTTTACAGTTCAGTCCATTGCAGGGGAAATTGCCTTATAATGTTATACCAGGGTTTCATTTATTAATAGTATTCATTTCTGCTTTCCCAAAACACCTCTAAGATATATTGGTAACAGTAATTTTTTAATAATATATCTCATTTTTATTATAGTTCATATTATTTTCTCCAGAGTATTTACTGCTAGAATTTTAAAATATTCTTCAATAGGAGACTGGTAAAATAATCTTTTGTAAATCTATAGCTTGGAATAGCATATAGCAGTATATGTTTTTTAAATTGTTAGTAAAATACACATAACATAAAATTCACCACCTTAACCATTTTAAATGTATACTTCACTAGTGTAAAATTCATTCACATTGTGATGACACCAATTTCCAGAATTCTTTTCGTCTTGCAAAACCAAAACCGTACCCAGAAAACAATAGCTCACCAATTTTCCTTCCCCACAGACCTTGGCTACCACCATTTTACTTTTCTGTCTTTATGAATTTGACTACTATGAGTACCTGATATAACTTGAATCATGCAGTATTTGTCATTTTGTGACTGATCTCATTTAGCATAATGTCTTCATCCATACAGTGGCATGTGTTAGAATTTCCTTCCTTTATAGGGGTAAATTTCCATTATATGTATATGCCACATTTTCCTTATCTATGCATCCATCATGGATACTTGGGTTGCTTCCACCTTTTGGCTGTTGTGAATAATGCTGCTATGAATGTGGGTGAACAAATACTTCTTCAAAACCCTGCTTTCAGTTATTTTGGATAGGTATATATCCAAAAGTGGAATTGCTATATGGTAATTCTATTTTTAATTTTTTGAGAAAATGCCATAAGGTTTTCCACAACAGCTGCACCATTTTACTTCCCACCAACAGGACCTAGTGTTCTGGTTTATACACTTCTTTGCCAACATATTATTATTACTATTATTATTATTATTATTATTTTAATAGTAGCCATCCTAATGGATGTGAGGCAGTATCTCATCATGGTTTTGAGTTACATTTTCCTAGTCATTAGTGATGTTCAACATCTTCATGTGCTTTTTGGCTATTTGTTTATCTTCCTTTCAGAAATGTCTATTTCAGTCTTTTACCCGTTTTTATTTTGGGTTGTTTGATTTTTGTTGTTGAGTTGTAGGAGTTCTTTATGCTTCTGAATATTACCCCTTTATCAGTTATATGCAATATTGCAAATATTTTCTCCCATTCCCTAGGTTTTACTTGTTGATTATATCCTTTGATACACAGAAGTTTTTAATTTCGCTGTAGTTGAGTTTATTTTTACTCCTGTTGCCTGTGTTTTGGTGTCATATCCAAGAAACCATTGCCAAGACCCATCTCACAAATCTATTCCCCTGTGTTTTCTTCTAAGAGTTGTGTAGTTTTAGCTCTTATGTTTAGGCCTGTTATCCATTTGCATTGATTTTTATATATGCTGTAAGGTCAGGGTACAACTTCATTCTTTTATGTGTGGTTATTGTTTCCCCAAAATCATTTTTGAAAAGACCATCCTGTCCCCTTTGAGTCGTCTTGGCATCCTTGTTGAAGATACTGTGACTATATATACAAGCGTTAATTTCTGGGCTTTCTATTCTGTTTCAATGGTATGTCTGTCTTTATGCTAGTACCACATTGTTTTGATTACTATAGCTTTACAAGTTTTGAAATCAGGAAGTTTAAGACCTCCAACTTTGTTCCTCTTTTTCAAGATTATTTTGTCTATTTTGGGTCCTTCAAGATTCCATATGAATCTTAGCATAGATTTTTCTAATTCTGCAAGAGACACCATTGAATGTTGATAGGGATTACATTAAATCTATAGATTGTTTGGGTAGTATTGATGTCTTAAAAATATTCTCTTCTAATCCATGAACATGGGATGTCTTTCCATTTGTGTGTTCTTTAATTTCTTCTCAACAATATTTGTAGTTTTCAGTATATAAGTCTTTCACCTCCTTGGCTAAGTATATTCTTAGTATTTTATTCTTTTTTGATACTGTTATACATACAATTGTCTTCTTTCTTCTTTGGATTGTTCATTGTTAGTGTACAGAAATGCAATTGATGTTTGTACAGTCATGCATTTTTAACAGAATATGTTATTAAATAAAAGCAAATACATATTTCAGAGTAATTTAGTGAAATCCAATTGATATAAATAAATCTCTATATGTTTATATAACACCTCTATAAAACAAGCTGCATTTTCCCTGTTTACTCCAGGGCACAATACTGCCTTAGAAAAAGGACTTTTTTTTTTTTTTAATTTCCATCTACTTGTATTTAGTTCTTATCTCTCACTCTGTATCTTATGTTCTCAGCTTATTTATAATTTGGAATGACCATAGGCCAAAGGCATTTGACCTCGATTTGAAATTATTCCCAGCACAATGGCTCATGCCTGTGATCCTAGCACTTCAGATGCTCAGGTGGGCAGATTGCTTGATCCAGGAGTTCATGACCAGCCTGCGCAACATGGTGAAACCCCATCTCTACAAAAAATACAAAAATTAGGCATGGTGGCATGCACCTATAGTCTCAGCTACTCAGGAGGCTGAGGTAGGAGGATCACTTGAACCTGGGAAGGTTGAGGCTGCAGTGAACCCAGATCACGCCACAGCAGTCTAGCCTGGGCAACAAGAGTGAAACCCTGTCTCAAAAAAAAAAAAAAAAGGAAAGAGAAGAAATGGTAACCTCCACTTTTATTATGGGAAGGTTTTTTGAGTAGGTTTTTGACAATAATATGTGGCAATCAATAGCTGTTTTAAATAAATCCAAAATGCAATTATAGAGACAGTAGAAGATGAGGAGAAAAGTAGAGTTATACTCGCTGGGAACAGCTAGATTCTATGTTACCAAGTTTATGCTGGAATCATTTATCCATGTTGATAAAAGGATATAGCTGGGGCTTCTCTGAGGCCATTCTGTTCATCAAGGGTCCTAAAGTCTGCGATGGAAGACTAAGATTGATTTGGCCTTGTATCATGCTCATGCTGAAATCTGTCATGGGAATAAAAGAGTGGAAATGGGGATTTCCAGGTGCTCCTCTGTTCATCTGAGCAGAAGAGGGCTGCACTAGCAGGTCTATGATGAATCTCCTTGGAATGCTCATTTTCAATCCTACTTGATGTGTCCCTTTCTGGAAATTCAGTATCTTTAATACATCTCAACAAAAATATTTTGTGATTAGTAAGCCTATTCTTATATAAATGACATTTTTTTTCCTTTCTCACTTGTTCTAACAATTTTGTATTTAATAATTAGATCTGTTAGATTTTATTCATAACTGTGGTAGTTGAAGTACCTTCTAGGCTGAGTTCAGGTTTGAAAGACACCTTGGCTATTGTTAACAGAAAAATTTGTCTCAATCTGCTTTGTATTTGAAAGGTATGAGATTCTGAATTAAAATATCTAACGAACTAGTCCCAAAAGACTACGTGTTCCCCACCTTAATTTCTCATGTAGTTGGCTCTGTGTTCACCATTATCAGAAGCTCATGCATATTGCCAACAATAAGGGGGTTGCCAAACCAACTGTGTTTTATCTATATCTACTCTAGAGAATGACGCAGCTACTAAAAATTATTTGTAGGTTACATAACAGCATGTGAAAATACATATGCTCTAAGTGGAAAAGACAAACTAAAAAAGAAGCACATATATAAATTAATTATAATAGCTATGTTTAAAAAAAAAAAAAAAAACTTTTAATGGAAAAACTCAAGAAGAAAACTTACCAGAATTCTAATAGTTGGTTTTGTGAAGTTGGTGACAGTAGATGATTTTTATCCTTTATTTTTTTGTTGTTTTCTAATGTGATTATATATTATTATAAAAACTTTTAAATACCTGTGTAGGCAGTAAGGAGCTGACTGTACTTGCTGAACTAGTGTAGTGTTATATAGTAAATATAATAATACTCTAATTTTGTAACAACAGTAGTAATTTCAGTTTCTGTCTCCCTTTACCAATGAGTTCATGTACTAGATTACCTTTGGTCGTGACTTATTTATGGGTAAATGAATTTATATAACATTTTTCTTGAGCAGTATATGAAATATACATATATTAAGAAAAGATGAATTTTTGCCCTTATAAAATAGGTCTCTATCAAAATTATTTAGTCCTCTACATATAATAAAACTCTAGCGTTTTGTAAGTAGGACTGCTTCTGAAAATAAAGATTTGCAGGGAGTAGGAGACAAGGAATGATTCCCAGCTATTAGGAGGAAATAGATAAAGTGATGCAGTAAATAAAAAAACTACTACTAAAATGAAACTTGGAAAATATTTATGGAAGATACATACAAACTAAAGGCAAATGGGCTTTCTGTATTATGTTATTGGTTTGAAGTAAATAAACATGCAGAATCATGTTAACCTATCATACACGAAGACAGCTATTATTTATAGTTGTCCATATTGTTCTGATCAGCGAATAGACATAAGAGCACAAACTCTAGAGCCAGACCACTTGGATTCAAAACCTGGCTAAACCTCTGAATGACCTTTGGCAAGTGATTTTACCTCTCTCAAGTTCAGTTTTCTCATCTGTCAAATGAGGATTATAGTAATACCTACCTCATAAAGTTACAGTCAAGATTAAATGTGTTAAGATATGAGAATAGTATCTGGCACATATTAGATGTGTTGGCTATATTTATTATTTTTAAGTAAATTTTTTTTAAAATGTGTTTATGTTTTAGATGGTTGGCATAGATAAAAAACAGAATTTGGAAGCTAAAAATACCCAAACACTGACTGCAGATGTTAAGGATAATGATATAATTGAGCAACAGAAGAAGATATTTTCTTTAATACAGGAGAAAAATAAACTCCAACAAATGTTAGAGAGTGTTAGAGCAGAAAAGGAACAGTTGAAGACTGACCTAAAGGAAAATATTGAAATGGTAAGATTTAGCACTGTACACTTGACGATTCCTTTTTGTCTTCATTTGTTTTCGATTTTTATCAATTTTATTGAGGTATAATTTACATACAATAAATGTATCTGGTGGAAGTGTATGGTCTGACGACTTTTGACAAATGGCTCTATTTCCTCTACACCCCAGTCAAGATAGAATATGTTTCCATCACCCCAAGAAAGTTTCCTCACACCCCTACCACTGACCCTCATCACCTCCTCCCTGCCAGATTGTCAGTCCTGTTATGTTCACCTTAAATCATTTGTCTCTTCTAGTTCTTTATACAAATAGAATCATACAGTATGTAGTCCGTTACGTTTGACTCCTTTCTACATTCCCATTTACTGCCAACGAATAGTTTATCTTGTTAATATGTCATAATTTTTTTATCCTTTCTCCTATAGATGGAAATTTGGGTTATGTTCAGTATTTGGCTATTTTGAATAAAACTGCTATAAACATTCTTGTACAACTCTTTTTATTTACATATCATTAATTATCTAAGGTAAATACCTAAATGGAATTGCTGCGTTGTAGGGAAGTATATGTTTAACCTGATGAGATTTTGCTAGACTGATTTCCAAAGTACATTTATATCTTTTACATTCCCATTAGCAAATTAAGAGAATTCTGGTGGCCCAACCATCCTTCTTCACCAACACTTCATATTTTTTGGCACTTTTAATTTTAGCCATTCTAATGGGTGTGTAGATTGTTGTTTTAATTTGTCTTTCCTTGATGACTAAAGATGTTGAACATTTTTTCTTGTGCTTATAAATCATTGTCTATCTTCCTCTAATTTATCCGTTCCCAAAGAGCTGTGTTGTAGATTTTCAGTGTGTAGGTCTTTTAATATTTTATTAAATTTGTTCCTAAATGTTTCTTTTATTTTTTGCTACCATAATTTTAAAATATTATTTTTAATTGTGTGTTGATGCCTGCCAATATTTTCACACTTTAGTTTTTCTGTGTTTAGGGGTGATGTAATGTGTATACGTTGAAATAAATATTTGGAGAAGTTCACTGTGTATCATAGTAGAATGTAACCATTTGTATTGTTTTAATTTTGTAAGTTTTGGGAATTGTCTGCTTGGTCAAAAGAGCAGAATGTAATTAATCATGCAAACAAAAAATTATATTTTCTTCTCAGTCTCTGGCTTGTTATGTTTTTGTGGTCTTGATACAGAAGAATATTATCACTGTGTGAGCCTAATAACTAGGATTAGCCCAAGTCATGCTCGCAAAGGGTGGCTGCCATTTTGAGCTTGCTGGTGGCGATCGGTGCCTAAAACCAAAGGCACCCCAGTGTTTAAAAAACCTATTGCTATAGTCTCATTATTACTCAGTGATAGGTCAGAAAACATCTTTTTTGGCTTAAAGGCAGAAATGAGCTAAGCTCTCATGATAGAATGTTAAATCCAATTCAAACTCTCATTGTAGAAATGTAAATTGAGAAATAAAGAAACAGCATAAAAAGCAGATTCTTGGCATCTTATATTATTAAATTAAGGGCTTTCTTACCTGAAATTAGCCTTTTCCTGTATAGTTTTCCCTGATTGCTTCGTTTGCAGACTGAGGGAACTGCTGACATTTTACCTGATTTCATAAATATCAGCTAATATTTTCTTTAATCTCAACATTTTTTTCTTTCTAGACCATTGAAAACCAGGAAGAATTAAGAATTCTTGGAGGTGAACTTAAAAAGCAGCAAGAGATAGTTGCACAAGAAAAGAACCGTACCAGAAAGAAGGAAGAAGAACTTTCTAGGACCTGTGACAGACTGGCAGAAGTTGAAGAAAAACTAAATGAAAAGGTGAATTTTTAAAGTTATTTTCCTGGCCATTTTTTTAACTAAACTTTTTGGTAGTAAATTTTTGTTTCTGTAGACCTAAATCCAGAAATAGCACATACCTCCCAAATGAACATATTTTAATGCTAGTATTATTCAAAAGTCTTTGGGTGAGAGATGGCTTTGTATCATTTAAACATATCCTATGATATATTCATTCATCAGATATTTATTGAGCACTGTCATGGGCCAGGCACTGTTCTGGGCACTTGAGATAAACTAGTCAACAAAACAAAGATTCTTTCCTTGCAGAGATACATTAGTCATTCTCTGAAATATAAGATTCATCACTATCACCATCTCTTAGATGTTTGCAGTTTCCCGAATAATTTCTTATATAGAAGCTAGGTGCTATTGGGATATTTGTGTAAGAGCTAAGACCCCCTGTAACAGCTGTAGTTCTCAAGAGATTCTAAAATGCACCCATAGAGATCTTTCTATATAAGCTAAGGGCAGTGCCACATGCATTATAGATAATATATTGTGGTTTCTATTATGCTTCTGGGGAATATTTTTTCTTTTCTTTTTTTTATTGAGACAGGGACTCACTCTGTCACCCAGGCTGGAGTGCAGTGGCATGATCACACTCACTGTAGCCTCATCCTCCCTGGGTTCAGGCAGTCCTCTCACTTCAGCCTCCCAAGTAGCTTGGACTAAATTAGCTGTGCCACAACACCCAGCTAATTTTGTATTTTTTATAGAAACAAGGTCTTTGTATGCTGCTGGTCTCAAACTCCTGGGCTCAAGTAGTCCTCCTGCTTCAGCCTCCCAAAGTGCTAGGATTACAGGTGTAAGCTGTCATGCCCAGCCTGTTTTTTTTCTTAATATGTCATTTCTTTTAATTCTGATCCCTTTCACTATCTCACCTAATTGGATTTACTAAAACCTTATGTCTATTTCATACTCCTATAAAAAAGTAAAATCAACACCCTGTGACGGTTAATGTCTCAGTGTTTTGGGGAACTACCCATAAGCATCTTGTTGAAAGTGAAAATAAATTCTCCAAAAGTTTTTAAGAGGATGAGGAATTACAGTTATTTGGTCGCTGTATTTGTATATTTAATAGTCTCTTTGCTTTTTTACTTTATCTCATCTTCCCCTTACATCCTTTTTCACTTTATTTTATCTCCTTAATCTGCCTATATCAGTTTCCTAGGGCTGCCGTAGCAAATTGCTGTAAACTTGATGGCTTACAATAGAAACTTATTCTGTCTGAATCCTAGAAGTTCTGAATCCTAGAAGTCCAAATTTGAAGTGTCAGCAATGCCATATTTCCTCTGAAGGCTCTAAGGAAGAATCATTCTTTGCTTCTTCCTAGCCTCCAGTGTCTCCCAGCTACCCTTTGCATTCCTTGGCTTTTAACTGCTTCACTTCAGTCTCTGCTTCCCTCTTCACATGACCTCCTTCCCTGTGTCTGTCTATGTCCTTTTATGTTTCTTTTAAATACATTCATTGGAATGAAGACCTACTCCAGTAGGATCATGTCTCAACCCTAATCCAGTAACATCTGCAAAGACTATTTCCAAGTAAATTCACATTCTGAAGTTCCTGGAAGACATGAATTTTGGGTGGGACAAAATTCAACCCACTACAGACATTTATGCCTGTGAGTTTCATTTACTTTTAATGGCACTTATCTATTTATATGGTGATAGGAGGCAGGGCTGTTAATGATGTCATGTAAGAATTTTGAGAATATAGACAAAATGGTAATTATACAAATTATACATTTTAAGAGCCAGCAACTCCAAGAAAAACAGCAACAACTTCTTAATGTACAAGAAGATATGAATGAGATGCAGAGAAAGATTAATGAAATGGAAAATTTAAAGAATGAATTAAAGAACAAAGAATTGACATTAGAACGTATGGAAACAGAGAGGCTTGAGTTGACTCAGAAACTTAATGAAAATTATGAGGAAATTAAATCTATAACCAAAGAAAGAAAAGCTATAAAGGAATTACAGGAGTCATTTGAAACAGAGAGAGACCAACTTAGAGGATATATAAGAGAAATTGAAGCTACCGTAAGTTATACCATTTTCCTTCATCTATTAAGTGTTTCTCTTTAAAACTGGAGCCACTTGGAAAGAGGAGAGCAGTGTTGGAATAATAGTACAATATTCTTTAAATTTCACTTTCCAAGGGCCTACAAACAAAAGAAGAACTAAAAATTGCTCATATTCATCTAAAAGAACAGCAAGAAACTATTGATGAACTAAGAAGAAACATATCTGAGAAGACAGCTCAAATAATGAATATTCAGGACTTAGAAAAATCCCATGCCAAATTACAAGAAGAGGTATGTCTTTTATTCTTTTCATCCATTGTCACTTCTTCCTTTCGCCTTTGAATGAAAGACAACTAGTAAGGAGTGGCTAGGATGTGGTTCATTCATTGACTGGGTATTTTTTAAGTGTCTAATGTAGCAGGCACACTCCTGGGTTATAGAAATACAATGAGAACAAGGTGGACAAACCCCCTAAAATTCTTCTGATTCATTTGTAGTGAAAGAAAGTAGCTGATAAATAAGAAATCAAATGAACAAGAAAACATTATGGTAAATGCTATAGAGAAAGTGAAACATTGGGATAACTGGGCCAACCTATATTAAAAGCCTACTCTATGCCAGACATTGAGACTATAGATATAAATAAGACATTTTTCTTTCCCCCCATTATAGGCAAGAAAAAAAGCTAGAAAAAAAAAATCCCTCAATTCCAATATGGTAAATGAAGAAATATGCAAAATTACATGGTACCACTAATTGATCATGGAAAGAAAAATCAATCTATACACATAGAAAAATTGAGACATAGCTTTGGAGACCATCTGAAAACAGAGATCATACATTCATTGGGATATAGTTTGCTCAACTATGGTTTTTCTCTTGTAGCATTTGGAAACTAGTGGAGAAATAAGAAGTGTGCAACTGACTGCTGGTAAAATATAACGGTTGGTTCACCTTGGGCCTAAACTAGAAAAAAGGAAAATTATGACAGAATATGACTACTAGAAAAGTCATGAATAGCTTTAGCAGGAATTGAGGGAAAATGAATTACGAGGAGTTTGTGATCCAAAGTAGGCTGAAGGTTCAAGATGACTTTCCTTGTTGCGAAAAGTATACTGATCTTTTCCCTTTTAAAAATTTATGATAATAGCCACCTGATTACAGGTGCAGTGGCTTACACCTGTAATCCCAGCACTTTGGGAGGCTGAGGCGGGCAGATCACCTGTGGTCAGGAGTTTGAGACCAGCCTGGCCAGCATGGTAAAACCCCATCTCTACTAAAAATACAAAATTAGCTAGGTGTGGTAGCACACACCTGTAATTCCAGCTACTCAGGAGGCTGAGACAGGAGAATCTCTTGAACCCAGGAGGCGGAGGTTGCAGTGATCTGAGATTGTGCCAATACACTCCAGCCTGGGTTACAGAGAGAGATGCTGTCTCAAAACAACAATTATAATAATCTCCAGATAGTAACCTTGGTATTTTATGAATGTCCTAAGATCCCAGTGCTTCATGACGAACAGGAGCTACTTCCTAATGTGCAAGAAGTCAGTGAGACTCAGGAAAGAGTGAATGAACTGGTGTTAATAAAAGAACAGTCCACAACCAAGGACTCAACAACACTGGCAAGCATAGAAATGGAAAGGCTCAGGTTGAATGAAAAATTTCAAGAACGTCAGGAAGAGATAAAATCTCTAACCAATGAAAGAGACAACCTTAAAATGATAACAGAAGCCCTTGAATTTAAACATGACCAGCTGAAAGAACACATTAGAGAAACTTTTGCTAAAGTAAGTTTTATATTTTCCTCCCATTGTAATAAGTGTCTTAAAAGAATCAAGGCTTGTGTTTGTGTGATAGTTATAATATTTGTATTATAATGTTACCAGTTTTTTAATGTCTCTTAATCATGAATTGATTAGAAACAGAACAATTAAAAATTGTTCATGAATACCAAGAAGCTTTGAAACTTAGAGATGTTTCAAAGAAGACAGCTGTTTTCTTAAATATTCAAAAAATGATTTAGAAAAAATAAGTCTAAACTACAAGAAAGAGTGAAAGCAATTATGGATTCTTTTTTTCTTTAAAACTATTTTTCCAATGTTTCATAAAGCATTAAGTCTTTCTCATTGTTTTAGTCAGAAATCTGGAAGTTATCTCTACTAATATCCCTTCCTCTCTGCTTATTCTGTAATCCAGTCACCAAATCTTGTTGATTTGAGTATGTATTTTAAAAATCATCCTGCTTTTCTCTCCACACTGCCACCACCCTAATCCAAGCCACCATCATTTCTTTCCCTGGTTGTCTGCAGTAGCCTCCTAACTGGACTTCCCACACTCATTCTTACACTTCTCTAATCCAGTTTCTAATACTGAGCCTAAGTGATCCTTTCTCACATTCTTTTAATATCGTATTGTTACTTTTTAAATAAAGACCAGGATCCTCTGTATGGCCTATGAGGCCCTAGGTGCAGATCTTTCTGGTCTCACTTCAGTTCACTCTTCTTCATATTCTTTGTTCTCCAGCAACACTCATGTGTTGCTCTCCTAGCTCATGACTTTCAGATTCTCAGGTCTCTGTATCTGTAGTCCTTCTATACTCCTTTTGCCTGACTAATGCTCTTATCCTTCAGATCTCAGTTACAGCTTTCTTTCCTCTAGGAAGCCCTTCCTAATTATTCACAATAGGCTATATTTGGCACTTAGGCCCTAGGAGAAGCCAGCATCTCTGTTTGGTAAGATTCAGGATAATATCTATCTTTGTCCTTAAAATATAAGTCTCAAAAAGAGAGACATGATGTAAGTCTAATCATTTTGTCTCCAACCTCGAATAAGATGCAGACAACACAGTGAGACCTCAATTTTTAAAAAGCGTTAAATGCCTGAATAATGGAAGAGTGGGAGAGTGGAGAGATTGCTCTGTAAATGAGGCATTGAATTCTGCCTTAATTGTTTTAGAAAGCATCCTGATTTATTTTCCCCTAAAATACAGTATCTCTGGATATCAACTGTACTGTTTTATGATTCTCTTCAGATCCAAGAATCTCAAAGCAAACAAGAACAGTCCTTAAATATGAAAGAAAAAGACAATGAGACTACTGAAATCATGAGTGAGATGGAGCAATTCAAAGACAAAGGTTCAGCACTAGTAAGAATAGAAATAGAAATGCTCAGATTGTCCAAAAGACTTCAAGAAAGTCATGATGAAATGAAACCTTTGACTAAGGAGAAAGATGACCTACAGAGGTCGCGAGAAGTTCTTCAATCTGAAAGTGACCAGCTCAAAGAAAACATAAAAGAAATTGTAGCTAAAGTAGGTTTCATCTTTTCACCATGTTTTTTTTTAAATATTTTATAACCAAATATTTTTATAAACCCTAAATATTTGGAAAAGGGAGCTAATTACAGCATAGTGGTCATAATGTTTCTATAAATTTACCTGAATTTTCTCTAATAATAAAGCACCTGGAAACTGAAGAGGAACTGAAAGTTGCTCGTTGTTGCCTGAAAGAACAAGAGGAAACTATTGATGAGTTAAGAATCAATCTTTCAGAGAAGGAAACTGAAATATCAACCATTCAAAAAGAATTAGAAGCAATCAATGATAAATTACAGAACAAGGTAAATTGGGGACGAAGAAACAGTAAAAGGAAATGTGTGGGGGGTGAGTAGCAAGCTGGATTATGAATACTTTTTAGCATACTTAATTGCTTTGGAAAGCAACCTTTTTTTCCCCTTAAGTTTGTGTGTGTGTGTGTGTGTGTGTGTGTGTGTGTGTGTGTGTGTGTATGTTTACATATATATTTTTTTGACTGTTAATTTATTTTATCATTATGTTTAAGATCCAAGAGCTTTATGAGAAAGAGGAACAACTTAAACAAATAAGTGGGATTCAGGAAAAAATGAATGAACTGGAACAATTGAAGGAGCATCTGAAAGCCAAAGATTCAGCACTACAAAGTATAGAAAGTGAGATGCTCAAGTTGACTAATAGACTTCAAGAAAGTCAAGAAGAAGTACAAATTATGATTAAGGAAAGAGATGAACTGAAAAAAGTACAGGAGGCCCTTCAGATAGAGAGAGACCAACTGAAAGAAAACAGTAAAGAAATTATAGTTAAAGTAAGTTTCCATCTTATATTTTTTGCATACAGAAATAGTGTTAAGGTGATAATGATGATGTTCACTGTTGAGTTTTATTAATTTTCCTCTAATCATAAAAGTACTAGAAATAAAAGAGGAACCAGAAACTGCTTGTATTCAACTTAGTACCAGTCAACTGTTAGTAGACGGAGTATTTCAGAAAAGACAGCTCAAGTAGCAAATATTCATTGGGATTTAGAAAATTCTGATGATGAATTACAGGAAAAAGTGGGATTTGTTAAATTAGAAAATGACATCTAATTAGTGTTACTCATATCCCTTATGAAAGAAAACAGTACATACATTAAATTAAAATGTAAAAGTGATTGCCTTATTTTAGGAACAATTCTTCCTTTTCCTAAAAAAAAATTTTTGCCTATGTTGTAAATTACTTTATAATTTTCTCAGATGCAAGAATCTCAAGAAAAGCATCAGCTTCTTAAGATGACAGCTGTCAATGAGACTCAGCAAAAAATGTGTGAAATAAAACATTTGAAGGAGCAACTTGAGACCCAGAAGTTAACTCTGGAAAAAATAGACATGGAAAATGTAAGGTTGACTCAGATACTACATGAAAACCTTGAAGAAATGAGATCTGTAACAAAAGAAAGAGATGACCTTAGGAGTGTGGAGGAGACTCTCAAAGTAGAGAGAGACCAGCTCAAGGAAACCCTTAGAGAAACCATAACTAGAGTGAGTTACTATCTCTCTGTACCTCTAGTAACTATGACATTGTGTCCTAAAAGAAAAATCTGCCATAGGGTTGGTGGGAGTATAAACTTGGTCCAATATTGAGGAAAGTTGGAGAGGGTATATTTGTTAATAACTTCCAAATTTTTCATCAAGTTTATTGATCCAGAAAGTCCAGTTGTAACTCTCCTTCACACATTTGCACAACTGTATAAAGATATTTATAGGATATTCTTTGGAACAAGTTGCAATAATGGAATAACACAAACAAAATCAGGGAAAATTCTAACTATCCATTGGTAGGGGACTGGTTAAAAAAGTGCAGCACATTCACATCATCGAATACTATGCCACAGATAAAAAATGTGGTAGAGCTATAGTGCTGATTTGAAGTGTGAAGTGTCCTGCTAAGGAACAGGTTAAGTTGCAGAGTAATGTATTGACATCTAAAAGTAGCTTAGAGGGTGAGAACTAGGAGGCCTCAGAAGAGCATGGGAGATTTTTACCTCCTGCCATATACCTTTCCATAGCACGTAAATGGTATTACTCTCAATGTATTATTTTTATTTTTCTGTCAATAAAGGACCTAGAAAAACAAGAGGAGCTAAAAATTGTTCACATGCATCTGAAGGAGCACCAAGAAACTATTGATAAACTCAGAAAAGTTGTTTCAGAGAAAACAAATGAAATATCAAATATGCAAAAGGACTTAGAAAATTCAAATGCTGCCTTAAAAGCACAGGTATTTTTTTTTAAGTTATATTAGTTACTGAGAGTTTGAATCAAATCTTTTTGTGTAATGAAACAAGATATGAGTTAGCCTAAAATTTAAGGCAAGTGAGGAGTTACTTGCCTACTCAATTTAGAAACTTTTATCTTTTTATATCTCCTTATATCCTTATTGTATGATTATCTGAAGATCCAAGAACTTCAGAAGAAAGAACATCAACTTCTTAAAAGTGAAAAGTAAAAAATGATCTCAGGAAAACTATGTATCAAACAGACCAGTTAAAGAATCAATTAGAAACCCAGAGTTTAACTCTGAGTAAAGTGTAGAAATGGAGAAATTAAGATTGACCCAGAAGCTTCATGAAAACTTGAAGGAAAATGATGGCTTAAGAAGAATAGAGGAAACCCTTAAAATGACTAGAGACCACCTTAGGGAAGGCCTTAGAGAAATAGAAGCTGAAGTAAGTTAGCTCATTCCTTTCCCTAGCAATTCAATGCATTGTCATCTTACAGCAATGAACCCTTCTTTGAACCAAGTAATCCTGTTGGCAAGAATGAAATAATGTAACCTTTAAGCAGATAATTTGGTTCTTGAAAATGCTGAAGTCTGCAATTACCATTTTCTTTATGGACTTTAGCCTGCATATATACTGTTAAAGGAGTGTGTGTGTATACAAACACAACATATACATATACCACAAGTTATTTATTGTAGCAGTTTTAGTTAAAAATGTGAAACAATCTAAATGTTCTCAGAAGGAAATAGTAAATACGAACAGTATGTCAAAATACTATGCAACACTTTAAAAAGGTAATATATTTGTAATGTGTTTGCCTCTGGAAAGCAGAAGTAGAGTGTGAAAAGATGAGGACAGGGAAGAGAAAGCTTATAACTGAAGAACAACAGCAAAGATACAGAGTAACAGTGTTACTATTTTTACTAAGAAAACATATCACTTTATTTTTAAAAAACTAATATTAAGATATATCACTTTTTAAATTTTCTCTAATGATAAAGGATCTGAAAAAACAAGAGGAACTAAGAATTGCTCACATGCATCTAAAAGAGCACCAGGAAACTATTGACAAACTCAGAGGAATTGTTTCTGAGAAGACAGATAAAATATCAGATATGCAAAAAGATTTAGAAAATTCAAATGCTAAATTACAAGAAAAGGTATTTTTGTTGGGGGATTGTTGGATTGGATATCTGATTTATTTGTGCCTAAAATTGTTGGGGATATAAAATGATTCAACCACACTGGAAAACACCTTGGCTTTATTTACTAATGCTGTACATAGCCTGCCTTAAGCCTTCCATTTCCACTTCTTGGGTATGTACCTAAGAAAAAAAGACTATGTACATACTTCTATAAAAAGACACAAGAATGTTTATAGCAGCATTATTCAAAATAGCAAAAACTGGAAACTCAAATGTCTGTCAGCAGGAGAATGGATTAAATACATTGTGATATATAAGCTCAAAAGCAGGCAAAACTGAACCAGGATGATAAAGGTCAGAATAGTGGCTGCCTCCAGGAAGGAGCACACAGAAACTTTATGAAGTGCTAGAAATATTCTCTGTTTTAGTCTGGGTTGTAGTTTCATAGATTTGTACCTGTGTCAAGAATGATTAAGTTATACATTGAAGATTAGTGTGCTTTATGTATATTATACCTCAAAAGAAAATCAAATTCTGTGTGGAGTTATGCAAGATATCAGTGAGAGTAACATGGGTAGACAGTTGTCTTAATAAATTTAGAAACTATTATTTATTTGTCTCTGAAAAGCCACTTAACATATTATTTTATGGTTATCTTAAGATTCAAGAACTTAAGGCAAATGAACGTCAACTTTATAAGTTAAAAAAAGATGTCAGTGAGACACAGAAAAAAGTGTCTGAAATGGAGCAACTAAAGAAACAAATGAAAGACCAAAGCTTAACTCTGAGTAAAATAGAAATTGAGAACTTAAATTTGGCTCAGAAACTTCATGAAAGCCTTGAAGAAATGAAATCTGTAATGAAAGAAAGAGATTATCTAAGAAGAGTAGAGGAGACCCTCAAACTGGAGAGAGACCAACTCAAGGAAAGCCTGCAAGAAACCAAAGCTAGAGTGAGTTGTGTTCTCTCTTTACCCTATGGTGATGTTCACACATTTGGGCAAAAATACAGTGTTCACTGCAGCACTGTGTGTGGTGACCAAAACCCAGAAGTAATCTAAGTGTCCACCAATTAGGCACTGTCTGTATAATGGAAAACTAAGCATAAGAATGGGGTACTCTTTATGTGATACTGATTTAGAACCATGTCCAAATGGTATGAAAGGAGAAGGCTATAGGGGAGGCTAGCAGCAGGAATTTTTACTTTACTGTTCTAATTTGGGAGGTTGTCTAACTGTTGTTTTTAACTGTGAGTGTGTATTTTTTAAGATTTTCTTTAAACTCATTAATCATTAAGTAAGGTAATGTGCCTTTATATCATTACATTTCTTGATTTCTCCTAACAATAAAGGATCTGGAAACACAACAGAAACTAAAAACTGCTCATATGCAATCAAAAGAACACCAAGAAACTATTGATAAACTTAGAGAAAAAGTTTCAGAAAAGACAACTCAAATTTCAAACATTCAAAAGGATTTAGATAAAAGTTGAATTACAGAAAAAGATATGTGTTGTTTTGCTCTTTTTTTAGATGCAACTGTGTCCAAAATTACTTGTGGAATTAGAAAAGATACGGATACAGATATGTAGATATATATGTGCATATAGAACACAAGTAGACACTACTCTTCTTGAAGAAACTGCTTACATTCTGACTTGTTTTATAATTTTCTCAAGATCCAAGAACTTCTGAAAAAAGAACTTCAACTGCTTAGAGTGAAAGATGTCAATGAAAGTCACAAAAAAAATAATGAAATGGAACAGTTGAAGAAGCAGTTTGAGGCCCAAAACTTATCTATGCAAATTGTGAGAATGGATAACTTGGAATTGACTAAGAAACTTCATGAAAGCCTTGAAGAAATAAGAATTGTAGCTAAAGAAAGAGATGAGCTAAGGAAGATAAAAGAATCTCTCAAAATGGAAAGGGACCAATTCATAGCAACCTTAAGGGAAATGATAGCTAGAGTGAGTTCAGAATCTTCCGCTGTGTAGTAACTATTAATAAGAATTAAGCTTTTTTTGGCCGGGCACAGTGGCTCACGCCTGTAATCCCAGCACTTTGGGAGGCCGAGGCGGGTGCATCACGAGGTCAAGAGATTGAGACTATCCTGGTTAACATGGTGAAACCCCGTCTCTACTAAAAATACAAAAAAACGTTAGCTGGGCATGGTGGCACGTGCCTGTAATCCAGCTACTCAGGAGGTTGAGGCAGGAGAATTGCCTGAACCCAGGAGGTGGAGGTTGCGGTGAGCCGAGATCGCGCCATTGCACTCCAGCCTGGGTAGCAAGAGTGAAACTCCGTCTCAAAAGAATTACTATGTTTTTATTTCTTTTTCTGGAAATTTCTATGAACAGTAACGGATAGTGGGAAATGATTACTATAATTTTCACACAATAAAAAACATTTTTAAAAGAAGCAAAAATATTTTCAGAAAATAACATTTAACTGTTAAAGCAGACTATTTCCCTTAATATAATATTTTAACCTTTTTTTTTTAAATGAAGAAACAGCATTATTCTAAATGGAGAAATATTTGAAGGACTAGATTTGTAGGAGAGCAAATATTCCCATTTATCTACCTATACATGCCAGAATTCTAGAGATGGGCTCTTATTGGTGAAGTTAAAAGGAAAAACGGCAAGATAAATATAAAAATTAAGTTCCTCACATGGACACAGGGAGGGGAGCACTACACACTGGGGTCTGTTGGGGGGAAATAGGGGAGGGACAGTGGGGGGTGGGGAGTTGGGGAGAGATAGCATGGGGAGAAATACCAGATATAGGTGAAGGGGAGGAAGGCAGAAAATCACACTGTCATGTGTGTACCTATGCAACAATCATGTTCTTCACAAGTACCCCAAAACCTAAAATGCAATTAAAAAATTAAGTTCCTCTGGTATAACTATAGATATTCAGAATCATATATTCTTAAAACACTTCATTAAATCCTCTTTTTAAAAGTAACAAAGTTCAGACAAATAGGTTGATTAAAATCTGTAAAAATATTTTTTATTCTCATGTTTCTTTATGCAGGCCTTAACTAAATTTATAAAGCCATTTAATTTATTCAACAAATATTCTTCTAGGTACTGTAGTGAGCAAGATAAACAAGTGGGAGAAAATGTTTTTGTTTCATTTCGTACTTTTTAATCAGAAATGCAAAATTTACACAGGATATGAACTTTTCCAAGGTACTGGGAAAAATATATAACTAGGGTTTGGAACACCATAGACAGTACAGATGGTTTTGCCCCAATATATTTGGTTGGCAGCAGTAGATGCGTTGAGATAAAAGTAAGTGACCCTGTTAAAACTATAACTGAATAAGCAGAGATTTGGAAGGGCAGGAACCAGAAATTAAAATCTAATTTGTTTGTTTTCTTATTTATTTATTTATTTATTGTTATAGAGACAGGATCTCACTATGTTGCCCAGGCTGGTTTTGAACTCCTGAGCTTGAGTGATCCTTCTGCCTCACCCTCCCAAAGTGCTAGGATTACAGGCGTGAGCTACCACATTTGGCCCTAAAACCGAATTTGTAGCTATGAAAAATAAATCCTATCTCCAAAAAATAGATGGTTCTACTTTTTTCCCAGTGAGTTGAGGTCATTCCCTGTAAAACTTACTGGTACTATTTTGCATTTTCTGATCATTTTAACATTGCTTTTGAGTTACAAGTGTAATATTTAATTCCATTATTGAAATGTCATGTAATTTAAAAGTGTACAATTAGACATTATATGTGAATATAGTTATGACTAAAGCCCTGTTTGTTTTCTTTTTACCAAAGCAGGACCAACAGAACCACCAAGTAAAACCTGAAGAAAGGTTACTAAGTGATGCACAACAGCAGCTTACAGAAAGCATGAGAGAAAAGTGCTCTAGAATAAAAGTAAGTTCCTCCTGCTAAACTACAAATGATTATTGGTTCCCTTCCAAAGGCTTCCTGAAACCTAAAGTGCAATTGAAGGAACCTCTGGAATGAATAGATCGTGCTCAGTATTTTTCTAAACATTGTAATCTAGTACAGGTGTATGTGTGTATGCATATATGTACACATACACAAACAACAATGGGAGCTTGTGAATTTAAGTCCTCACCAGAAAAATGATACTTGAGCAACTACGTAAAGGGCCAGGCCATACAGATGTCTGAAAAGACCATTATAGGCAAAGGGAACAGCAAGTACAAAGTTCCTGAGGCAGAAGACTCCGTGGTGGTTCAAGGAACATCAAGCTGCTAACAAACAAGGTCAGAGAGTTAACAGGGAAGAGGCGGGCTGTAGGACGCGAAAAAAGACTTTGAATTTTATTAAGTGAGATGGAGATCCATTGGTGAGTTTTTACTGTAAGAGGAACATGATCTGACTTACATTTTAAAGGGATGACTCTTAATTGTTGTATTGAAAATAGAGCAGAAACAGAAAGACCATTATAAAGAATAATTTCAGTCATCCAAGCAGACATCATCCTGGCCTGGCCCAGAGACGGAGCAATAGAGGTAGTGAGAAGTGTTGAGATTCTAAATATACAAAGTCAACAGGATTTACAGTCACCCCTGTTGGAATGCAAGAGCTCTAAGGACGTTTTTATTTTGTTTGACTGTATCACTTAGCACATTCCTGACATAAGTCAATGTTTACTATGCTGCATACCGTAGTTGCTTCATCCTAAAACCAAAAACAGGAATCTTCTCTCCAACATTCTAGATTAATTAACATCTATCTTTTCTTAAATTATGAAAAATAGAGGGCCCATTCCTGAGAAAGTCCTTGTTTTATTGTTTAGCACCCTGACCTAAACATGTTACCTACTACATGATTAAGCAACTTGAATTTTACGTTTCCCTCTACCTGTGTTCTGACCAGTGTGTCACCTGCACAGCCTCAAGTCCCTTGAGTTTATGGGCCCAGAGTTTATTGCATGTCTACTATATGCCAGGTACCATACTGGGTGCTTTATCTCATGACATAGGCTTTATTGCGCCATTCATAAACAAGGAAACTGAGGCTCAGAAAGGAAGTTTAGCAGTTACCCACAGCTGGTAAATTGGTAGAATCAGAATTTTAAACTAAGTCAGACTTGTATATGACTTAGTTTAAAACTTGGATATAGAACCATTTTTACAAATATAATTTTATTTCCTTCAAGCTTAATGACTGTATCTGTTTTATAGATCACATAGATATATAAGTATAGATCATATATTTTACCTGACCCCAGAAAACTTGGTAATTATTGTAGTCTTCCTGTTGTTGTGAAAATGGCTCAGTGTCTTCTCCAGTTCAGAGGTGGCAGAGCTGGAACCTGAACTCTACCTTTGATAAAGGGTTAGAAAACAGATTCTAGGCAGGTAATAGGGTTGTGTCAAATATCTATACCAAGCTGACAAATAGGCATTTTGATTCTTAATCACTTGTTTTATCTGCTAGCTCAGATTGCCTACTATAAACATAAACCAGCACTCAACCATAAACTACAATACATACTTGATTGAATTACTCAAATTTCTCATCAGACTTTGTCCATGTTGATTCAAATCATGGTTATTCAAAAAACTAAAAGAAAATGCATCAAAATATTGAGAATGGTTGGTCCTGGCTTTCTTGTTATATTTGCTTAAATTGTTTAAATGGCCATAATAATTATATATTATTTCTGTAATCCAAAATCAGCAAGCTTCCTTTTGTTTTTAAACACAAAGCTCTTTATTTCTCTCCTACAGAAAAAAAAGCGTAAGTTTTGTTACAATTCTAGAATTGTAACTATTTATTGTTATATTAGCAAATTGTTATAAATTGAATGAATTCTCATTTCCTTTAGGAGCTTTTGAAGAGATATTCAGAGGTGGATGATCACTATGAGTGCTTGAATAGACTGTCTCTTGACTTGGAGAAGGAAATTGAAATCCAAAAAGAGCTTTTAATGAGAGTAAAAGCAAACCTCTCACTTCCCTATTTACAAACCAAACAAATTGAAAAACTTTTTACTGCAAACCAGAGGTGTTCCATGGAATTCCATAGAGTCATGAAGAAACTCAAGGTACCATCTTTTTTAGTAATATCCTTGTAAATATTGCTTAATATCCTTGTAAATATTGTTATAAACATCAGTATATTTAAGTCCTGCTTTGAGTGCCAGCATATTTGCTCTTTAGAACTCTTACTACCGAATTAGAAATTATGTGGGTCTGAGCATAGAAATATGTAGCATCATCAATATGAATCACCTGGTCATTCAGCAACACCTGAACTCTGCCTGTGGGCCTAGACATTATGTCAAGGTGCTCAGGAGGCAGATGTGCGTTAACATTTCAAAGATCTTATAGTCTGTGGGTGAGACAGACATATAAACAAAATAAGTACAACGATAGAAGTACATGCAAGTTATATGCCATACTAGGTAAAGTTACAGAAGATGAATCTGTAGTGGAAGCCAGACTCAATAACAAAGCTTGGAGTTCTTTTTGTAGATGGAGAATCATTAGACAGTTATTTTAAGTGGTGGCAGTAACAGGAACAGATTATCATTTAGGTACTAAACTAAAGAATAAAGAAGAAATGAGTTTGAGGGAGATAAGCCTCGTGGCAGAAAGCGACAAGAGGTATTTACAGTGGTTCAGATGAGCTATTATATGTGACGTTACTACTAGGGAAGGTTTCATAGGGCTGAAGAGGACAAACAACATTAAAGAAATGTTTATCAGCTTAAGATAGTAGGCCCACATAATTGATAGTGGGAGATAAGGGAGAGAAATTTAGATGGAGTTCTTGGATTTGGTCTTAGTCAGGTTTGTGGTTAGTGGTACCATTAACTGAGATTCAAAAATAAAAATAAAAAAAAGAAACAAGATAGATGAGGCAGGAGATTGTTTAACTTGAGATGTTTGGGGGCTGAAATACCTGTGATGGAGCATCCAAGAAGAAAAACCAAGTAGGCATTTAGATGTGAGTTTGAGGTTTGGCAGGAGAAAAATAAGGACTAGCATTTGAGACTGATTAGCATATAGGTGATAGATAATACATTTGTAAGATCATCCAGAAAGCATAATGAAAAAAACAGAACTCTGGAAAAGATAAATGTCTAAGAGACAGTGGCAGAAAAGGGAGCAACACATGGGTTCAAGGTTGGAAAAGTCAAAGATACAGGAGAGAACCTAGCAAAAGTGCTACTACCCAAATCAGTAGAGAAGAGTATATCAAAGATGAAGTTATGAGTGATAAATATTTCAGAGAGTCAGAATAGGGACTGAAGATATTCTCTCAATGTGGTAATAATAGAACTCATTGGTGATCATTGTCAGAACAGTTTCAATTGAGTAGTTAAGGAAGAGACCAAATTGTAAGAGGTTAAGGAATGGTGCAAGTTGAGGAATTAAGAAGCAGGTATCTGCCCTTCGTAGATAAATTGCCCTTCAGGCCCTGGTAATTCTTCCACAAATCCTGGTAATCAGACATCTAGAATTATTCATGAAGTCCATGAAATATATGGCATTCAAATTACTGTCTCCTTGAAGCCGAATATCTAAATATGCTTGACAAGGAAGTCTTGAGGCAGATAACATCATCTTTTTGGTTACCCAATCAGGGTTGGCGGAAGAGGATGTTGAAAATGAGTCTCACAAGTTTAACTGGGAATCCTGGGTGATTGGCAATGTAATTAGCCAAAAGGGGGGCAATAGGAAAAGGAGGACTTGCAGAGAAAGGGATGATGTTACATTTTAAACATGTTCAATTTGAAGTACTTGTAAGACATCCAAGAAGTATATCTAGTAAGAAGTCAGAAATAAGGAAGTATAGGTCTGGGAGTTAGTTATTCTCCTAAGATACCAAGAGGAAAAAACTGGGGATAGAAAGAAGCTCTTTCCCTCTTCCTCACTTATGAGAGGATATAGGTAAATAAGACATGTCATCCTACCTCATAGTCACAAGGATTAAAACTTCCTCTAAATGTGACAAAATTTTCATTTTCCAATTTGTTTAATTTTTTTCTGCAAGTATGTGTTAAGCTGTGTTACAAAAATAAAAGAAGAGCAACATGAATCCATCAATAAATTTGAAATGGATTTTATTGATGAAGTGGAAAAGCAAGAGGAATTGCTAATTAAAATACAGCACCTTCAACAAGATTGTGATGTACCATCCAGAGAATTAAGGGACTTCAAATTGAGCAGGAATATTGATCTACATATTGAGGTATAATTTATTTTAAATGGATTTAATTAGATTTTAAGCCTTTTTATCAAGTAGAAAAGACTTTTTTTGTGTGCTTAGAGCTATTTTCATTTACCAGTAATTAAAAATAGGTTGCAGAGTGATACCTGGCCAGCCATAGATGGGCAAATGATGGACTTAGCCTCCTTTTAGACCTCCATAGATACAGAAAACAGGAAAACTTACATTGATACTGGGAGCGAGAAACCTTTTTATTGCCACAACTCCACATGGCATGTGTTAGTTACTTTTATTCATCTATGTGAGGTTGGCATACAATTTCTAACATGTATGTAAGATCTACTATATGTACTAAAAAGTACATTTAGAAGCACTTCATGAAGCCAGCCCCAGTGGTATGCCTGTAATTCCAGCTACTTAGGAGGCTCAGCCAGGAGGATCATTTGAGGCCAGGGGCTCAAGACCAGCCTGGGCAACAAAGTGAGACCATTTCAAAAATTAAAAATTAAGATGCACTTCAGGTATTGTAGCAATTAGTCCCAAGTTTGCCATTTTGACAAGTTTTAATTCGAATACGTAAAATATTTTACATCACGTATGCTGCCAAAATATTATTATGGAAATAACTAGAATAAAGTTTAACTTACAATTATATTTCTTAGTTTACTTTAAAATATTAAGAAATGATATAAAAAGGAAGAAAAGCAAGAGTCCAGTAGGTATTACCCTCTTTTTATGATTATGTATGATATTTGGATAAAAACTTTCCTAAAGTTTAAGCAATTTGATGCTTATTTTTCACACAGGAAATTCTCAAAGATTTCTCAGAAAGTGAGTTCCCTAGCATAAAGACTGAATTTCAGCAAGTACTAAGTAATAAGAAGGAAATGACACAGTTTTTGGAAGAGTGGTTAAATACTCGTTTTGATATAGAAAAGCTTAAAAATGGCATCCAGAAAGAAAATGATAGGATTTGTCAAGTGAATAACTTCTTTAATAACAGAATAATTGTAAGTATTAATTTTTCTGTACTACCTCTTTTTTGTTGTTGTTTGCTTTAATTGTCCTACCTCATTCTTAAAAGGGCAACTTATGTATGTTTTCTTTATTTGTATATGCTTTAAAAATTGATTCGGTAAAACGTGTTCTTCCTCTAATGTATAATTCTTCTTTATCAATTCATACTGATCAAGTAACAAAATGGTGTCGTATAACATTCAGTTTCCATTTGTGAAATCTTGAATCCTCTTATTAGTCTCCTCTTTTCCTTCTCCTTCTCACTGCTTCTGCAAGAACTGAGCCTTTTCTACAAGTAGCCTTAGAGATCTTAAGACGTAAGTCTGTTTCAAGACTATGGGCAGCAACTGTGGTAAAGTCATAGACAAGCCTGGCCAGCTACTTTAGTTGGGCCTCATGTGCATTAATAAACTATTTTAGAGCAGTTTTAGGTTCACAGCAAAATTGAACAGAAAGTACAGAGAATTCCTTATATCCCATCTTCACAAACACGATCTCTCCTATCAACAGCCAACATCAGAGTGGCACATTTAGCACAATCAATGAACCTACCTTGATGCATCATATCACCCAAAGTCTGTAGCTTACATTAGGATTTACACTTGGCAAGTACATTCTATGAGTTACAAGTGTAAAATGACATGTATCCATCATTACAGTATCATACAGAGTAATTTCACTATCCTGCCCTAAAAATCCCATGTGTTCCACCTGTATTCATCACTTTAACTCCCTAAACCCTGGCAAGTGCTAATCTTTTTACTGTCTCCATAGTACCACCTTTTTCAGAATGTCATAAGTTGAAATTGTACGGTATATAGCCTTTTCAGATTGACAGCTTTCACTTAGTAATATTTATTTATGTTTTCTCCGTGTCTTTTCATGGCTTCATAACTTATTTCTTCTTAATGCTGAATAATATTCCATTGTCTGTATGTACCTGTTTATTTATCTGCTCACCTACCAAAGGATATCTTGGTTGCTTGTATGTTTTGGCAATTATGAATTCAGCTACTATAAACATATATGTGCATCTTTTTCTGTGGACATACATTTTCAACTCACTTGTGTAAATATCAAGAAATGCAATTTCTGGATCATATAGTAAAAGTTTGTTTAGTTTTTTAAGAAACTGCCAGACAGTCTTCCAAAGGGGCTGTACCATTTTGCACTCCCACCAACAATGAATAAAATTCCCATTGCTCCACATCCTCATCAGCATTTGCTGTTGTCAGTTTTGGATTTTGACCATGCTAGTAAGTGTGTAGTAGTATCTCATTCAATTTGCAATTCTCTAATAACATGATGTTGAACATTTTTTATAGTTATTTGTCATCTGTGTATCTTTTTTGGTAAAGTGTCTGTTCTGGTCTATTGCCCATATTTTAGTCAAGTTATTTTTTTTTTCTCATTGTTAAGGTTTAAGAATTCTTTGTACATTTTGAATATTGGTCCTTTAATCAGATGTGTCTTTTGTAAATGTATTCTACCAATGGCTTGTCTTCTCATTCTCTTGGCATTGTATTTTATAGTGTAGATTTTTAATGTTAAAAAAGTCTAGCTTTTCAATTATTTCTGTCATAGGTTATGCCTTTGAGTTTGTATCTAAAATATCATCACAAAACCCGAGTTCATCTAGATTTTCTCCTATGCTGTCTTCCATATTTTGTTTTACATTTAAATCTATGATCCATCTTGAGTTAATTTTTCTGAAATGCATAAGATCTGTCTTTTTTTTTTGCACCATTAGATTGTCTTTGCTAGGTCATTGACAAAGGTCAGTGATCATTTGACTACATGGGATCTATTTCTGAGCTATTTTATTCTATTGATCTATTTGTTCTTTCATTAATAACAAATCTGGAAACAATAATGATTTTTGTAGTAAATCTGGAAGTCAAGTAATGTCAGTTCTCTAAAGTTGTTCTTCAACATTGTGTTGGTTATTCTGGGTCCTTTGCCTCTCCATATAAACTTTGGAATTAGTTTATCCCTATTCACAAAATAACTTGCTATGGTTTTATTGGGATTGCATCTAATTTATAGATGGAAAGAACTTCATCTTGACAATATTGTATCTTTTTATCCATAAATATGGAATATTTCTCCATTGATTTGATTCTTTTTTTCTAATCAGAGTTTGGTAGTTTTTCTTATAGATCTTGTATATATTTGTTAGATTTGCCTAAGTATTTTATTTTGGGGGGTGCTGGTATAAATGGTAATGTATTTTTTATTTCAAATTACACTTGCAAAGTCCTGGTATACAGGAAAGCTGTTAACTTTGCATATTGACTTTGTATCCTGCAACTTTGCTATAGTTGCATATTAGTTTCAGGAGTATTTTAGTTGATGCCTTCAGATTTTCTATGTAGATGATCATGTCTTGTGTGAACAAAGAGAATTTTGTTAGTTTTATTTCTTCTTTACAAAATTGTGTACCTTGATCTTATGGCATTAGTTTGGACTTCTAGTACAGTGTTGAATACCAGTGGTCAGAGGAGACATCCTTGCCTTGTTTCTGATCATAGCAGGAAGGCTTCTGTTTCTTATTATTAACTATCATGTTAGCTGTAGTTTTTTTGTAAATATTCTTTATCACGTTGTAGAGGTTCATCTGTATTGCTGAGAGCTTTAAATCATGAATGGGTATTGGATTTTAACAAATGTTTTTTCTGCATCTATTGATATGATTATGTGATTTTTCTCCTTTTGCCTATATGATGAAATACATTAATTGATTTTTGAATGTTACACCAGACTTGCATACCTAGGATAAGTCTCATTTGGTCATGTATAATCTTTTATGCTTGGTTAGATTTGATTTCCTAATATTTTGTTGAGGATTTTTACATCTATTTTTATGAGAGATATTGGTCTGTAGTTTTATTGTAGAATGTCATCATCTGGTTTTTAGTGTTAGGATAATGCTGACATCATAGACTGAGTTAGGAGGTATTTCTTCTGTTTCTGTCTTCTGGAAGAGATTGTTGAGAATGGGTAAAATTTTTTCCTAAAATTTCTTAAATATTTGGTAGAATTCACCATTGAACTCATCTGGATTTGATGCTTTCTGTTTTGGAGGTTTTTAATTATTGACTTCATTTCTTTGATAGATATAGGCCTAATCGAACCGTCTCTTCTTGTGTATTGGTAGATTGTGTCTTTCAAAGGGTTGGTCCATTTCATTCAGATTATCAAATTTGTGGGTTGTTCATAATTGTGGATTGTAATAATTGAATTGTTCACAATATTTTGTAATGTCCATGGGCTCCATAGTGATATCCTCTCATCCATTTCTGATATTAGTAATTTGTATCCTTTTTCTTAGTTTGCCTAGCTTAGAAGGTTATTAACTTTATTGATCTTTTCAAAGAACCAGTTTTTAGGATTTTTATTTTCTCTATTGATTTTCTGTTTCAATTTCATTGATTTCTGCTTTAACTTTCATGATTTCTTCTGCTTACTTTGGATTTAATTTGCTGTTCATTTTTAGGTTTCTAAGATTAAAGCCTCATTTATTGATTTTTAGGTCTTTCATCTTTTCTAATACATGTATTCAATGCTATAAATTTTCTTCTAAGCACTGCTTTTACTGCATCCCAGAGATACTGGTAAGTCATATTTTTATTTTCATTTAGTTCAAAATACATTTTATTTCTTTTATTTCTCCTGTGACCCATATGTTGTTTAGAAGTGTATTGTTTAAATCTCTATTTGTGGATTTTTTCCGTTTTTGATTTCTAGTTTAATTCCATTGTAGTCTGAGAGCAGACATGGTATGATTTCTATTGTTTGTTAAGGTGCATTTTGTGGTCCAGAATGTGGTCTGTCTTGGCAAATATTCAATGTGTGTTTGAGAAGAATATATAATATGCTGTTGTTTGATGAAGTGGTCAATAGATGTTAATTGCATCCAGTTGATTAATGATACTGTTAAATTCAACTATGTCCTTACTGATTTTTCTGGCGGGCGGATCTGTCCACTTCTGATAGTCATTAAAGTCTCCCACTATAATAGATTGATCTGTTTTTCCTTGTAGTTTTATCAGTTTTTGCCTCAAGTATTTTAATGCTTTTTTGTTAGGTACATGCAAAATAAAAGTTGTTATGTCTCATTGGGGCATTGATGCCTTTATCACTATGAAATGTCACTTTTATCCCTCATAGTTTTCCTTGCTCTGAATCTGCAATATGTGAAATTAATATTGCTACTTCATCTCTTTTGATTAGTTTTAATGTGGTGTATCTTTCTCCACCCTTTTACTTTCTAATCTGTGTCCCTTTATATTGAATGGGTTTCTTGTAGACAGCATACAGTCAGCTCTTGTTTTTTGATCTGCTTTGACAGTTGGTCTTTTAATTGGTGTATTTGGACCATTGACATTTAAGGTGATTACTGATATAGCTAGATTAATATCTACCATATTGTTTCTGTTTTCTTTTTGCCCTTATTCTTTGTACGTATTTTTGTCTTCTGCATTTTTTCTGCCTTTCATGGTTTTAATTATATTATGATTCCATTTTCTCTGCATAGCATACAAGTACACTTCTGTCTTGTTTCAGTGGTTGCTCTACAGTTTGCAATATTCATTCACAACTAATCCAAGTTGTTTCAAATAACACTTTACACTTCACAGATAGTATAAGTACCTTATAATAACAAAATATTTATAATTTCTCCTTCCCATCTTTTGTATCATTGCTGTCATTCATTTCACTTATTCATGATTGCATAAGTTATCTCAGTTAAAAATAAGAAAATAAGTTTTTGTTTCACCTTCACTTATTCCTTCTCTGGTACTCTTCCTTTTTTATGTAGATCTGAGTCTGACTATATCATTTTCCTTTCCTCTGAAGAACTTCTTTTCAACATTCCTTGCAAGGCCAGTCTATTGACAACAAATTCCCTCAATTTTTGTTTGTCTCAGAAAGTCTTTATTTCTACTTCACTTTTGAAGAATAATTTTACAGAATAATTTTGAAGAATAATTTTACAAAATAATTTTGAAGAATAATTTTATAGTATTACAGGTTGGTATGTTTTTTCACTCCACTGTCTTCTAGCTTGCATAGTTTCAGAGAAGTCAGATGTAATTCTTGTCTTCACTCCCCTATAGGTAAGATATTTTCTCCCTTCTAGCTTCTTCAAAGATTTTTTTTTTTCTGAAGTTTGAATGTATATCACATCATGCCTAGATGTAGGTTTTTGTTGTTGTTGTTTGTTTTTTGCGGGGTTTTTTTTGTTTGTTTTTTGTTTTTTTTAGTTTCCTGGATTCCTGATTTGGTGTATATTGTTAATCTGGGAAAATTCTTGTCATTATTACTTCAAATATTCCTGCTCTTTCTTTTTATATTTTCCTGGTATTCCCATTATGTATCCATTACACCTTTCATACTTGCCCCACAGTTCTAGGATGTTGTGTTTAGGGTTTTGGTTTTTTTGTTTGTTTGTTTGTTTTTCAGTCTTTTTACTCTTTGCTTTTCAGTTTTGGAAGTTTCCATTGTCCTATTTCTAAGCTGAGTTTCTTTCTTCAGCCAGTCTACTAATGAACTCTTCAAAGGGATTCTTCATTTCTGTTAACAGCATTTTTGATCTCTTGCATTTATTTTTTTCTCAAAATTTCTGTCTCTTACATTGTTCATTTGTTCTTGCATATTGTCTACTTTTTCCACTAAAGCCCCTAGCATATTTATCAATTTTTTAAAACGTTCTGGTCTGATAACTCTAAGGTTCCTGCCATTTCTGACTCTGGTTCTGATGCTTATTCAGTCTTTTCAAACTGTGTTTTTTGCCCTCTAGTATGTCTCGGAAGTTTTTATTTTGCTGAAAAGAAGGTATGATTCACTGGGTAAAAGTAACTGTAGTAAATAGACCTTTAGTAGTATAGTGGCAAGGTGTGGGTGGTGGGTGGCGGGTGGCGGGTGGAGTGGATTTCCCTGCCTTCACATGGAAGGCAAGAGCCAGCTGAAACTTAGTATTGCCCCCTCCTCCAGTTAGGCTCTGATAAAACCCCAGCATGATAGGCTCTGGTAAAATAGTTTCTGCTGAAGGCAGGCCTTAAAAAAAAGAGAGAATGTTTTCTTTTATTTCAAAATGGTTCCTCTTCTCCTCTCCTGCCAGGCTTACAAAGGGACTTTTCCAATATTAACTGTGATAACCTGGTAGAGCTCCTGAAGGTAAAACACAAAAATGTGGGGACGGACCACTGTATGACTAGGCACCCCTGAAGTTTTTAACTCTCAGAGTTGCCACACTGAGCTCTAATAATTCATCATTGCATTCAGGTTTTCCTACACCATAACTGGTTCCTAAAAAGGTTTCTGTTAAGTTGTGATTGTATCTGCCCCTCTGTCTCTCCAATTTTGGCAGCATCCCTGTGCCCTGCAACCTCACTGCTCTGATGGATCTAAGCAGAGTTGTGGATTTTTTCATTTGTTTTGCTTTTTCCTTATTGTTAATATGGACTGGCAACTTCTAAGCACCTAAAATACTAAACTAGAAACTCCAGAATTGTGACTTTTTTTAAATCATTGTTCCCAAGGTGATCATCCCAAATGTACTGAGTCATAAGGACCGACATTGCTTAATACCAGTTTGTTAACTTGTTTTACATTTCAGTGATTGGTATTAGGTTAGTGCAAAAGTAATCGTGGTATTCATCCTGCTTTCAGAAGTAATCCCTTCTCTGTATAATTGGTAAAACTTGTAATATTCAAAAGATTGCTTGTTTGTATTAAATTGGAGCAATGGTAGCTAGATTAATATTATAGCTTTCAAGATACATTTTGTATTTCATATGTTTGTGTAGTTCTTTTCTCACAATTTTATCTGCAAATTATATTGGAATCATATTGAAATAAGGAATAATGCCTTTTAAAAAAAGTTTTTCCATGGAGAGTTCATCCTATTTATTGATTAGCCAGAGCTAGCAAAATAGCAGTTGGCTATTTCAAGAAAAAAACAAAAAAGGTCACTAGAGAAAGGCACAAAACCCATGTTTGGATAAGGTAATCTCTATTTGTAATTCATTGTTTTTCTTATAATATTGAGGATCCAGTTGTGATTAGAGAGTAGATATTTCTATTGTGTGGATCAGCATGAGCATGTATATGTGGCTTCTTTCAGCACATAAGAGTAGGCATTAAGAATGTGGTATGGTGTGAGGTCAGTAGTCCAGAGTCAAGGAGTGTCCAGGGTGTCTGGAACACAATGAATTTAAGATCTGAGCCTGGTAGAATGACCACAAAGCCACAACGAAGTTATGGATGAGACCAATGGGGCATTCATGATGAGAGCAGAAAGTACAATCTGTATGAATTAGGAAATAAAGAAATCAGTAATTTCAGAATTAGTCTTCAATATAAAAGAGTATTGTTATTCCCTGTACAGAAATATAAGATATCAGATTAATTACCAACAATCGGTTAGTTTTCCCTATTAACATTGAGGTTTGTAATGAAGCAGGAAAATAGATAATTGTTAACTTTGTAGCTGTGCTGTTAGAGATCAGTTAATGTTTCATTATCAGCCATAGCATATATAATTTTAACCTGTGTAATTCTTCAAGTTCTCTTCCTATGTTAGTACAAATCTAATAAAGTGAGATTATCATCTTGCAAATCAATATGAATCCTCTCTAGTCATTATTTTATTATGACATACTACATACTTAGCACTATGCTAACTAATAAATCACATAACCACTGTGCTTTATTGTCATCCACATCCAACATCTGAAATTTCAGAAACTGATGCAAACTACAAAGAATGTTCACATTCTTTTAAAGTACTATTTTAGAATGTTCTAAATAATGAATGTCAGCATATATACTGTCCTAGAATTTTAGGTTTCTTTTAAATATGTATATCAAAACCCCTCCTCCCCCGGGTGGATGCCTAAAGCCATGGATGGTACCAAACCCTATGTATTTGGGATTTTTTTTTTTTTTTTTTTTTTTGGTGGAAAAGCAATTTATTAGAGAAAGAAAGCTTCCATGCTGCCAGGGGAGGGGAATATTCTGTTTTTTCTATACATACATATCTATGATAATGTTTATAAATTAGGCACAGCAAGATTAAAAACAACAACTAATAGAACAATTATAACAATATACTATAATTAAAGTTATATAAATGTGGACTCTCCCAAAATATTTCACTGTAATCTCCTTTCTTATGATGTGAGATGATACAATGCCTGCCTGATAAGATGAAGGAATATGAGTGACATAGACATTTTGATATTGTCTTAGACTGCTTCTGTATTCCTGAATCCATGAATAATTCTTACTTGAAGTAAAGGGCTTGATGTTACTTTTTTCTGTTCTTGTCTTCCAGCACAAATTTAATGCCTTTTCTAGCTTAGCTAAGCACTTATCACATGCTGTTGCAGGTTGAAGTGCTACAGCAAAAACACCATGAATTTCTCTTTCCTTCACAATTTCAAAGATTCATTCTAACCATAGATCTTAGCAATCTTAACATAGGATTTTTTTTTCTTATTAAGTTGAGAACTTTTACCTTTTCGATTAAAAGAAACAGTTGACAGCTTCACTGTGGCATATCTAAATTGCCAGCATTACTACTCTTGTGCTTTGAGGCCATTAAGTAAAATAAGGGTTACTTGAACATACGCACTGCAATACAGCAGCAATCGGATAATCAAGGTGGCTATCTAGTGACTAAGGAATGCGCAAGTAGTGTGTACAGTATGGACATGCTGGAAAATGGGATGATTTACATCCCAGGCAGGACTGAGCAGGATGACTCAAGATTTCACTGTGCTACTCAGAATGGTGTACAATTCAAAACTTGTAAATTGCTTATTTCTGGAATTTCCCATTTAACATATTCAGACCACTTTTGACTGAGGGTAACTAAAACCATGGAAAATAAAATCGCAGATAAGTGGGGACTACTATAAATCGTTTTAGACTATAATGGTATTTTAATATTCAATAGGCAATAATGAATGAATCAACAGAGTTTGAGGAAAGAAGTGCTGCCATATCCAAAGAATGGGAACAGGATCTGAAATCACTGAAAGAGAAAAATGAAAAACTATTGAAAAACTACCAAACATTGAAGACCTCCTTGGCATCTGGTGCCCAGGTTAATCCTACCATGCAAGACAATAAGAATCCTCATGTTACCTCAAGAGCTACAAAGTTAACCACAGAGGTATATAATTTCTTATAAAACGTTCTTTAATTTGCAGCTTCATTAGAGTTTAGAGCAAAATTATAGTATTGGATATACTTATTACCAAACATGAACACATTTATTGTTGTGTGTGATGGGCTTGTTTTTTATTAGTAGTTCTACTGTGGCTGTCATTCAACTAAACTAATTATAAAGCTAGACATTATGTAAGATTTTATCTTTGAATTATGCAACAGATAAATCATACCTTCATTTGATTATTAAATTTATAAAATATAGTTTAAGTTGCTACCACTTAAGGTATAATTACCATATGAGTTTTCCAAATCATGTGACTTTCTATTAAACTGTGATCTATGTCCGTATGCAGAACAAATATTAGCTTGGAAAGAAATAGCAATTTACCTTTTCTCTTATTATCATCAGCATATTTAATATTGCTTAATGTTTTAATCACAATAAAAATTTAAGAGGTTAAAAATATACAAGATTGTTATGCAGATTAATTTGTGTCTAAGAACCAGTACCTTATTTGAATAATCCAGTTTATTAACTACTCTTACTCGGGAGTCTAACAACACATGCAAAATGTTGTATTTTATTAGCACACAAAATGATTTAGTGGGGAACCCAACAGCAAATTACAATTTATCATTTTTACCAAAATAAATACTTGTAATAAAACATCAACCACCAGCTTAATGAAAACTAGAAGATCAGAAGTATACAGTGTTTTGTTGGTCATTACAGAACTCAGTCAACTGGTAGAGATAAAATAGAGGAAATATGAAACCCATCTACCAAAATAATAATTAAAAAAAAAAGGAAAATCAGTCTGTCTTCAATGACCCAAGAAAAGAGCCTAGCAGATAATAAAATATATGCAGGCAGATGAGCTGAGGTCAGGAATTCGATAACAGCCTGGCCAGTGTGGTGAAACCCTGTCTCTACTAAAAATACAAAAATTAGAAAACTGGAGTTACTAGTGGGCAGCCCTGCATCCTGCATGGAATTGGAGCTGTACAGAGTTGACGACAAGTTCTACAGCAAGCTAGATCAAGAAGATGCGCTGCTGGGCTCCTACCCTGTAGATGACGGCTGCCGCATCCATGTCATTGACCACATCGGCGCCCGCCTTGGTGAGTATAAGGATGTGTCCTTGGTGGAGAAGTACACCATCTCACAAGAAACCTACGACCAGAGGCAAGACACGGTCCGCTCCTTCCAAAAGCTCAGCAAGCTCGGCAGGTACAACGAGGAGGAGCGGGCGCAGCAGGAGGCCGAGGCCACCCAGCGCCTCGCTGAGGAGAAGGCCCAGGCCAGCTCCATCCCGGTGGGCAGCCGCTGTGAGGTGCGGGCGGTGGGGCAGTCCCCTCGCCGGGGCACCGTCAAGTATGTAGGTCTCACAGATTTCAAGCCTGGCTACTGGATTGGCATCCGCTATGATGAGCCACTGGGGAAAAACTGGCAGTGTGAATGGGAAACGCTACTTCGAATGCCAGGCCAAGCACAGCGCCTTCGTCAAGCCAGCAGTCGTGACGGTGGGGGACTTCCCAGAGGAGGACTACGGGTTGGACGAGATGTGACACCCCAGGAATTCCCCCGCTCCAGCTCCTAACTCGGCCACTCACTGCCCCTCCTGTGTGTGCCCATGGCCCTCTTCTGACCCCATTTTACTTTTATTCATTTCTCCTCTGCCATTGATTTTTGAGACTCATGCATTAAATTCACTAGAAACCTGGAAAAAAAAAATACAAAAATTAGAAATTAGCTAGCTATGATGGCACACACCTGTAGTCCCAGCTACTTAGGAGGCTGAGGCAGGAGAATTGCTTGAATCCAGGAGGTAGAGGTTGCAGTGAGCCAAGGTCGCGCCACTGCAATCAGTGTGGGCAACAGAGTAAGACGCCGTCTCAAAAAAAAAAAAAAAAGAAAAGAGAAGATTAATGAAAGTAAAGGGAAAGATAAGTTACATATATTTACTTTAGAGAGTCAATTAACACTACTATTTTTAGTGTTTGTTTAAAATATGAGTGCTATTTAATATACTTAGCACTATGCTAACTGATAAATCACATAACCACTGTGCTATTTTCAACTGCATGTTTTAAGTATTTGCAGACAGAGTATAATATAAACCTTCGGCATTTTTAATCCAAAAATAATCATCTAAATGAAGGAAATAACATGTCTGTAGATTGAATGCTGTTTGGCCTCTTTTTGCTATCCTTTGTTATGTATTAACAATACCTAAATATCATCTCTGTCTCAAATTTGTATACTGTGATTCTGTGTTCATGATAGAGCTTATGAATATGCGCTTTTTTTAATAGAAAGTTCAGGAACTGGAAACTTCATTACGTGAAGCTAAAGAAAGTGCTATGCATAAGGAAAGCAAGATTATAAAGATGCAAAAAGAACTTGAGGTGGCTAATGACATAATAGCAAAACTTCAAGCCAAAGTTAATGAATCAAATAAATGCCTTGAAAAACAAAAAGAGACAATTCAAATACTTCAGGTAATTTAAACATAAAAATAAAAGTTGTTTGTTTGTTTGTTCAACCTACTGAATTCAGAAAATATCTTGGTGATCTGTTCTTCCCTCTCAACACAACTTTATTACCTATGTGTATCTGAAGTTCAATACTCAAGAAGAAGCAATGTAACTTAGAAGTGAAATGTAGGAGCATATTGTCATATAAAATATTATTTTTATCATGTTGGAAAAATAATTTTTTAAAGACACGTTCTTTATACTTTAAAGTGTATTTTTTTGTTTTTCAAAAAAATTGGTTATCAAAATATGTAATACTATTAGATACATTTTTAAATTATTTTCTTTCTACTTACTGCCCCTGTTACTGAGTCTCACCTGATGTCCTGTGGTCCGAATCTGACCTGTTTTGGGGGGAAGAACGATAATTTAAATGTTTTTCAACTTGAATGTCATTAGACAAATCACATACTCATTCATCACTATTTACAGCTCCCTTTTGTTTTAGTTCCAGACACTTCTCATATTTCTGCTACTCAAGTCTGATCTGAATTGGCATATTTAAATTTGCTGTTCTGCTCCAGTGTCTCTTCACTCCAGTTAAAATTAGGAACAGGTCAAGAATGCCTGTTTTTTCATTATTTAACATTGTTCTAAAAATTCTGGTCTATTCAGTGAGACATGAGCAGAGAGCAAGAGAAAATACTAATTTTGTCTTTAGACAATTGTTGGTATAGCTAGAAACTAAAAAATTTCAACTAACATTTTAGAATGTTGTAATTTTTTAATATTACAAATAATTGATCATAGTTTTTATTCAACAAATATTTGCTGAGCACCATCTATGTGTCACTCACTGTTATAGATGCCAGTGAAAAAAACAAGTCCATGCCATCAAGACATGAAAATTAATTAAAAATGTAAAATATAGAAGGTATATTTTTATGTATGAATTAAGAGGTATATATCTCAAGTGGCAAAAAGTGAAATGGAAAAAAAAATTAAGCTAGACAAGGGAGTACATGGTTCTGGGTGAAGGTGGACGTGTGTGGGAAGAGATATAATTATATATAGGGGGGTTGAGGAATGTCACACCAGTAAGATTATCTGAAGGAAGTGGCAGGACGACTGTGCGGCCAGGGAGAAATGTTCCAGGCAAAGGAAATAGCAAACTGAAAACAAGAAACTTAGGGTATCCGGGGCAGTCATTGCAAGAGGATAGAGGCAGAAAATAGGGTGAGAAGTAGCAGAGGCCAGATCATAAAGCTCCTGTAAGCTATTTTAAGAACTCTGCTTTCTATTCTGGGTGAGATGGATACAAAGGCTTCTCAAAGGAAAAGGAGAATCTGATCAACTAATGATGCTAGACAACCAAATATCCACGAGCAAAAAAAGACACAGAACTTATAATTTTCAAAAAAATTAACTTAAAATGGATCATAGACATAAATGTAAAATGCAAAACTAGAAAACTCCACAAAGATGACATAGGAGAGGTTCTAAGTGACCTTGGCTTTGGAGATTTTTTTAGATATAATACAAAAAGTACAATCCATAAAGAAAAAAATCTGGTAAGTTGGATTTTATTGAGACTTAAACTTCTGCTTTGCAAGATGCTGTTAAGAAAATAAAGAGAAGCCACAGACTGGCAGAAACTATATGTAAAAGATGAATCTGGTGATGGAATGTTACATAAAATATACAAAGAACTCAAAACCAGCAATAAGAAACAAAGAATCAGTCTCAAAATAGGCAAAAGATCTGAACAGACATCTCACCAGAGAAGATATACAGATGACAAATGACCATATGAAAAGATGCTTCACATCATATGTCATTAGAGAATCACAAATTAAAATAATAGACCATTACAAACTTACCAGAATAGCTAAAATCCAAAACTCTGACAATACCAAATGTTGATGTCTAGAGCAACAGGCAATTAATAACAATTAATTGCTGGTAGAAATGCAAAATGCTACAGCCATTTCAGAAGACGGTTTGGCAGTTTCTTACAAAACTAAGCATACTTGTATGATCAAGCAGTTGTGTTCCTCAGTATTTACTCAGATGAGCTGAGAATGTATGTTCATACAAAGGGCTGTGTGTGTATGTTAATAGCAGCTGTATTCATAATTGACAAGACTTAGACACAACCAAGCTGTCTTTCAGTGGGTAAAGGGATAAACTGTGGTACATCCATACAGTGGAATATTATTCAGCAATTAAAAGAAATGAGAGGGCCAGGTGCAGTGGCTCATGCCTATAATCCCAGCACTTTGGGAAGCCAAGCTGTCAGATCACCTGAGGTCAGGAGTTGGAGACCAGCCTGCCCAACATGGTGAAACCCTATCTCTACTGAAAATATAAAACATTAACTAGGCATGGTGGTGTGCACCTGTAGTCCCAGCTACTCGGGAGGCTGAAGCAGGAGAATTGCTTGAACCCTGGACACAGAGGTTGCAGTGAGCCGAGATTGTACCACTGCACTCCAGCCTGGGCAACAAGAGCAAAACTTCATCTCAAAAAAAAAAAAAAAAGAGAAAGAAATGAGAGGACCTTACATACAAATTGCTTAGTGAAAGAAGTCAATCTGAAAAGGCTACATACTATATGACTTCAAGTGTATGACATTTTTAGAAAGGCAAAACTACAGAAACAGTAAAAAGATTAGCAGTTGCCAGGGATAGTGGAGAAGAGAGGGATGAATAGGCAAAGCACAGGGTTTTTTAGGACAATGAAAGTATTCTGCATGATATTGTAATGATGGACATGTATCATTTTACATTTGTGAAGATCCACAAAATGTATAATACAAATAAACTGGCATGGAAATTATAGATTTTAATTAATAATAATGTATCAGCATTAGTTCACTTATAACAAATGTACCATACTAATGCATGATGTTAATATGGGGACAAAGGAATAGAGGACACTGGATATATAGGAACTCTCAGCATTTTCCATTCCATTTTTCTGTAAACCTGAAACTGCTGCTTTAAAATATTGTGTTTTATATCACTGGATGGAACTATGTTTCAGTACAAAATATACCTAGTAATGCTTTGTTTTGTGACTTGAATTTAGTTGAGACATCTAGGTTGATGTCTACATCACTGCTCCAACATCTTTTTGTTTCATTTTCTGATTTACTTTTTCCACCCATTTCATTATTTTCAACCTATTTCACTTTGTAGATATTTTCAATTGGAAAAAAATATTTTAAGAAATAAAAATCATGTTTCTAATTACATTATAATAGCTTCAAATAAAAATTCATGCTTCTAATTTCATATTAGCTTCAAGTGGACTTCATATCAATATCTAGATATTCAGTTAAAATTTATTCATTTTCATATATTTGCTATTTTTAAATGTCATTAGAGCAAAAATAGCTAACCATTCTTTAAAACTGAAGAAATTTAAACTGCTCTAATTATTATTTTTATTTTCTCTAAAAAAAAAATTAGGACAAAGTTGCTTCAGGAGCTAAGCCATATAAAGAAGAAATTGAAGATCTCAAAACGACGCTCATGAAAATAGACCTAGAGAAAATGAAAAATGCCAAAGAATTTGAAAAGAAGTATGTATTTGTCTTAATTGAATGTGATTTTAATAGCTTAAGTTTTCTTCCTAAATTACATATACTTTTCGGTAGTTAACTTTTTAAAATTATGAAAATATTGTTAGTGTTCTTTTTTAAAAAATATAAACATCCACAGATTCTAAATATACTAAAGTCTCATTACATATGCAAAGTTTTTAAAACTAAGCACAATTCTGATCAATTAACACAGTCTTTGAACACTTCTTTGTCAGCCATATATAATATAAACAATTTTAAGTTGCTTTTTTATGCCTGAAAGTGAATATTGAGAGAGAGAGACAGAGAGAGAGAGAGAGAGAGAGAGAGAGAGAGAGAGAGAGTGTGTGTGTGTGTGTGTGTGTGTGTGTGTGTGTGTGTAGCAGTTTGACAAAGGTTTCTGTTGGTTCTCTTAATTTCATTTGTTGTTCTTACTGTGTTTTTGTGTAAAGGTTATATTTCCTTATAGTTTATAGTAGCCTAGAGCTCAAGAGCAAATCCTCTTTTTATTGATTTATAGGTAGCATTATATATAACAGCATGCCTAAATTCTTTGTGGTATAGCATAATGAAAAGAACATAAAACAGATAGTCAAGGAAACTGAATTAGAAATGTTCTCACTAATGCATCACCTTACACTATTTATTCTCTCTGGTCCTTTCTTTCATAATCAATAAGTAAAGGTTTATATTAGAGGATTTGTTAAGATGCCTTCTGGGTCTTAATACATTTCATTCATCCTATAAATCTTGAATAAATATTTAATGATCTCTTATTTTGCCCAGGAAGTAGCACTCGGAATTTTCATGCTCTTTAAGCAGCCTATTGTTATGAAAGCAATTTTACTTATAGAATAGTGTTACCAGATACATTCATAGTCATTAGGAAAGGCAGAAAGTCTTATACATTATCATTGCGGATTAATGCCTAAACTAACTTTCGACTCTGACCTTCGTAGCATCTTAGACCAGAGCTGCAGACAGGGTTTGCCTTCCTGACCATGTAGAAAGAAAGCTGCACTTTCTCTTTCATGCTCCTGATAATTATACCTTCAAGATATTTCTAGGACCCCAGGGTAAAAAATAATTATGTAATTATAATTTTGTTCAATATCTAATGAATAGTTATTAGGCTTCCAGAAGGTTTAAAAGAATTGGTTTCTCAATATAAGAAAATTGGACTGTCCTTGCACCCAAGCAGAATGCTTCTAATTTGATGGCATTAATGCCATAAGGGGCATGACACCAGAGAAATATCACGGGGCTTATCTACTGCCACTTACAGGCGTTATGTCAATGTGATGTATTAGAAAGTCCTTCACAGCAGTTCTGTTTATTCTCCTGTAAAAAATTAGTTGCTGAACTGTTTACACATTTTTATTGTTCTTGTTAGAATCACTGCTATAAAAGCCACTGTGGAACATCAAGAAGAAGTTATAAGGGTATTGAGAGAAAATCTGAGAAGAAGTCAGCAGGCCCATGATACCTCAAGTAAGTAGAAAATGCAGACATTCTCAGATCCTTTAAATTTTGCTTCTCAACACACAACAGATTTTGAAGATTACCATTATGTATGTGACAGTCAAGAGTAAACAGAAGTTGACCACTAATCTATTTTTAAATGAATTTATTGGAACCGTATTTCCAGATATCTTGTGACATCTTAGTTTGTTATAATCTTAGCTGCTTATCCATTATAGATTCTTAAAAAATATGAACTCTGCTTTTGTATTATCCATTCTTTATCTAACAGTGAAGATACCTTCAGGCAATAAAAGAATGACTTAACTATCAACATAGAAGTATGCTTCCCAATAAAATGAAACACACGTTTTCATAGATTTTAATTGTATGCATCTAATAATTTATAATTGGTGCACAGTAAAAATAAATATTCTGTTCTTAAAACCAAATATGTCAATTTAATATTTACTTGCAAAGGTCTTTGAAATTTATCTGAGATATACTTTTTAGATCTGGAGGTCAAATTTCTCAAAATACATGCATTCCTCAAACTGCCTTTTTCATATTTCTGTCTGTCATGTTCTGTTTGAAATGAAAGAATGCTTGAACAGTATTTGGGATAGCTTTGCTCAGTAGAACAAGTACTGAACTAAGTCAGATACAGATCTCACTTAAAACGGCTATGTGAAATTGTGGAGTTAACACCTGACCTTCTAATTTCTATATGTATATATACTTATAAGTATACGCTTTTATATACACACTTATAAGTATATATATATATACACACACACACACACACACACACACTCACACACACATATATATATACTTATTAACTTATTAACAAGTAACCCTTGACTTCTGCCTTCTATCTTACTCACCTGGCTTATTTTACCAACCATCAATTCTAAATGCCTCTAGAATCCCCCTCAATTAATTACACACACACACACTTTTGAAGCTCAAACCAAAAGTTGTGGGTAAAATCACATTGAAATTTCCAAATACTAAGCAAAACATAAGATGATACTTGCTTATATTATTGTCCATTCGTTTAAAAAAAAAAAAAAATAGAGATGGTGGTGCTAAAGATGTTAAGGTGTTGCCTAGTACCTATTGTAGCTTAAACTTACCTAGTGTCTGTTACAGGATAACCACAGCTCCTAGTGGGAAAACTTAAAGGGGTAAAAATAGAAGTGAGGATTCTGTTTCAGGAGGTTGAGGATAATTACACTTGATTTGTAGGTGACTTTCAGGTACATAGTGTAACTGAATTCAAAATAAAATAGACATTGAGAATCACCTCCTACATACACACTATCCCTCTTTTGTGTATTCCGAGTGACCTAAAGGATTAATCCCCTTCCTAACTACCTCACATTTTTATGCAACTTTGCCTATAATTTATAAAACACAGTCTCTTTACACACATAGTGTAGAATATTTCACATGTGCTTTAATATTCCAACGTATATTTAGTTAATAAACATGTATTGAATATATATAATGCACTGAGTGGCGAGGTGGCCCTCCCACCCTACCTCACCTCTTGGCCATGCACACACTGTTGTAACAAGCCCTCCAGGGGAAAACTGATGTGGAAGATGTAGATCAATGAAGGACAGCTGTAAGTGGAGATGATTGCTATTGCTGCAGTCAGGGTGAAAGATCTTAGTATTCTGGATATGTTATTGGAATTGGTTAAGGGGGATTCTAGAAGCATTTAGAATTGATGGCTGGTCAAATAAGCAGAGGGAGTAAGGTAGAAGGTGGAAGTCAAAGGTGACTTCCAGGAAAATAACACGAGGTGTTTGGGTCTCTATGATGGCTTATTGTACTTAGTAGTGTTTCCTTTATTTTGAACTTTGGAGACAATCACCTATTTGTGTATTTGCCTCCCACAGTGATATCAGAACATACTGATTCTCAGCCTTCAAATAAACCCTTAACTTGTGGAGGTGGCAGTGGCATTGTACAAAATACAAAAGCTCTTATTTTGAAAAGTGAGCATATAAGGCTAGAAAAGGAAGTTTCTAAGTTAAAGCAGCAAAATGAAGAGCTAATAAAGCAAAAGAATGAATTGTTAAGGTAAGATCTGCTTATATGATACAGATATTATGCTTATGGCTATTTCATATATCTAGGATATATGGTATATGCACATATTTTTTGCAGGTGGTAACCCTTTACTCATTATGGGGAAAGTAATTTTTATAGCTCATATAATTTTTTTTTTAAAAATTAGAATATTGTAGCACTATTACAATATTTGCTGTCAATTGACCTATTCTTAACTAAGCCAAGAAACAGGAAATAAACAAAGACCTTTGAGGGGGTAGCTGACATACACAAGTCCATATACCCAAGCCAGTGAGGCTTTACTTAGAGAAGAACTCCTTACGTTCATTATTGTAGGCTTTTTACTTTATTAACAGATCTAACAAATTATTTGGCTTCTACCACAGTGGAAGATTAGAATCTTTTTGCCAAGCATTCTACTATGATATCGTAGAAAATAAAAAGCATTAAATAATTTTACAAATAACTAACTCTTTGCCATGAGTGCTATTAGAAACAGAAACAAAAACAAAAAGGACATTATAAAAGGGTTATATTATGAAAGACCTAATATTATCTAGGTGTTAGGAGTAGAGGGTTGGTTGATCAGGAAGCCAACAAACAGGCATACCTTGTTTTACTGCATTAATCTATCTACTGTATATACTGGGAACCCGAAAGATTTCTGTGATTCACTTTATTGCAGTGATCTGGAACAAAACCCGCCATATCTCCAAGGTATTCCTGTATTGGAATAGATCTGAAAAATGAGTAGGAATTAGGCTAGATGAGAGGAGAAGGGTAAGTCTTCCAGGACAGGGGAACAACATGTTCATAGGCTTTGAATCAAGAAGAATAAGTAATGAGTGGGACTGAAAGACATCCACTGTGGCCAGGGTGTAGAGAATGAGGCAGAGTAAAGTGCAAGATGAAGTGCCAGAGGTAACTGGATTCAGATTACCCAGGCCGTTATGGGCCATTCTGAAGAATTTGCAGTGGTATCCTAAATAATGGCAGGATTATCTGCACTTGAGGGTTTTAAGCCTGTGGCCTGATAAGATCATATAGCATCTTTGGCTGCTAGCATATTATAGAGGGACCCAGTTTTAGAATGTGTTTATGGTAGTTCAGGCAGAAGATAATTTTAGCATGGACTAGGTTGGCTACAATAGGAATAAAAACAAGGAAATGAATTTGATAGGTAGGATGAGATTGTATGAAGAGACTTGGATGACTGTTAAATAAAAGAGAGTGAGATCTCTAGGATTGCTTCCTAGGTTTTCTTCTGGAGGAACTGGATAAATGCTTGTAGCATCTCCTGTAAGAAGCAGCACTGTAACTAGAAAAGCACAGTGTAATATTTCTTTTACAGTAAGAAAGGTACATCAAAGATTCATCTATCCAGGAGACTAATTCATCAAATTATTTGGCAGTGTATCAATAGATAAGCCACTCTGGATTATGTCATTGATTCATTTGAAAACCTAATGTTGTATTTTGAGTTTTCTTTTCAAGACTCCATGATCATGGAACTTTACCACATTATTCAATTTATATAGATCCATTTTGTTTTCGGAACCCTGGAAATAGTCAAAACAGGAAGCATGAGGTTAAAATTAAAATGTAAATAGAAAATGGTAAATTTTATGTTATATATATTTCATCACAATTTATTTTTAAGTTTTAAATGTAAATGTGAATACATCTTAAGAATCAAGAAGGCTTACAGTCTCTCTTTTTTCCCCCACATTAAAGCAATAATCAGCATCTTTCTAATGAGGTCAAAACTTGGAAGGACAGAGCCCTTAAAAGAGAGGCTCACAAACAAGTAATTTGTGAGAATTCTCCAAAGTCTCCTAAAGTGACTGGAACAGTTTCTAAAAAGAAACAGATTACACCCTCTCAATGCAGGGAACGGAATTTACAAGATCCTGTGCCAAAGGAATCGCCAAAACCTTGTTTTTTTGATAGCCGATCAAAGTCTTTACCATCACCTCATCCAGTTCGCTATTTTGATAACTCAAGTTTAGGCCTTTGTCCAGGTAAGTAAATATACTAGTTACTTTGAAATCGGAGGGTAACAGTTGGAACTTATCATTAATATTTGATCCCAAGGGGCAAGTTAGATAAGAGAAGATTTAATTGAGTAAGCTACAAGGACAGGCTTCATTTGCTGACTCTGTGTAAGAAAGTTGGTTTCTCCAAGGCACAGCAACGAAGTGTAATCACTTTTAACCCCAAATGAAGTCTTTATTCTACCATTTAAGCCCATAGCTTTGTCCAAAGAGAAACAAGCAACTTTCTCAAGGACATGAAGATAATACCCTAAAAAAAACTTTTACTGATAAGTCTTACCAATTTAATGGACCAAAATATCCAGTAGCATTATATTCACTCTACTCAAGCCAGATAATAGACTTGAATCATTTACCTATTCATTTATTCAATCAACAAAATTGTTTTTAGCCCCTACTATGTTTTAAGGATTAGATCCTGGTGGCACATTGATAAGCAAAGCCAGACATGGTCCCTGCCTTCATAGAGCTTAATTCTGATAGAAGATACAGACAGTAATAAAGTGGTTAAAAAAAAAAAAAAAGTGAAATTCTAGCAGTGCAAGTGCAAAAGACTATGAGGAATATAATAGGTATGAGGAATATTGAGGAAGGAAACAGATCAGATCTAAAAGGTTAACATGAATTCTCTTAACAAAGAGGAAAGTGAAAAGCATCTCGGGCAGATGGAACGGCGACAGCATTAGGGTAGGTGGGAATATGACCAGGTGAAGAGTTGAAAGAAATACAGTGTGGTCAGAGCACAGTGAGTACAAGCTTGTATGGGTGAAGTCAGTGAGCCCAAAGAGAGAGATAAAAGCCGGAAATGCTGGTCTTTTGTAAATTGTATAAAGGAATTTTTTTCATTTATTGTGTAGAGGAAGTCTTTGAAAGCTCTTAAGCGATGACAGGAGAACATGAGTTATACATTTTGAAAACATCACTCATCTCTAAGGTGACCAAAAAAATAATAGGAGCAAGAGTTTGACAGTTGTCTGAACAGGACATGATGGTAGTGTGGACTTGGAGTAGAGATGGAGAAAAGTAGACCAATGGGAGAGATTTTGGAGTAAAATCAGCAATACCAGGCACCGGATTGAACAAAGGAGAACTAGGGATATCAAGGATCATCCCTAGTTCTGCATGGACGTTGTCCACAGAAGTGGGGGGCCTTGCAGGAGAAACAAACACTGCATTTCTTGTAGTCTTTCTCACCACATAGCATCTGTTGTGCACAGCCCTTTGTGACAATGTATCTACCTACCAGAGGTACCCTGTTATGCAACTGTAGAAATCTAAAGCAACAAAATTGTACGCTAAGAAAGGCAGTTGCCAAATCATTTAAAACCTTGAGCAATGTTTGCCGGAGTTTGTAAAACCTCTACTTTGTGATTAAGAAAAAAATCCATCCATTCTCATCAACTATATCAAAATTAGATCAAGTTGACAGTTTAAAAGTGTTCTTAGGGAGATAGGTAGGCACAAAAACATTTGGGAAAAAAAAAAGTTTGAAGTATTCTCTTCATTAAGTAGTATTTAACAAACATGTAAGGACCTTCTCTTGGCTACGTAACACTTGTATGGGACTGTCTCTCTATGTTGCCCAGGCTGGCCTTGAACTCCTCGGCTCAGGCAATCCTCCCAAGCATCAAGGACTACAAGTGCATGCTACCACACCCAGCTGTAATCACCTTCTGATTTTGTCTGCTAGTGCCAGAGGCATATGCATAATGTGAATTCATCAAACTGCAAATAAAAATGTTTGAGTCCCTTTGTTAATACATGGATCTCGCTGGTACTGTTTTTAGATTAATAAAAGAGTAGCCTAGAGGAATACCTAAATCAAAAACTGACCAATTCAGAATTAAAGGAGATAGGCCCAGTTTGAATTAATAGCAGTCTTTTAAAAAGTAAACGTGAGTTTGTACTTTTAATTATAAAAGGTAATCTAAATTACCTTAACAAACTAAGGTAATTGCCAAGACCAGTTATGCTATATTTACTTTCATAAATATAATAATTGTAAAATGAATACTGTTTATAATCACATAGATGCAGCTAAAGTCCTTTTTAAAGGATCGTAGAAAGCTTTCCAAACATGGCTAAATATTCTCTAAAATACTATTTGTTTAGCATACTATTTTGAAAAATAGGAAGAAAGAAAATAAAAATCAGTCCATGTTTGGTTCACTTTGAATTTCAAATTGAAGAATTCCCAATAAAACTTTATTACTTCTCAGTTTAACTATGGTTTTTCTAATTGTTCATTTTAAGACAAAATGGAGAGTAAACTTCTCCAACTCTGAGGTGAAATACACCATCTTCATGACCAAACATGATGAACCATATTGCCATTTGTCATTCTTCACATCTCTCCTGTCTTAACAGTCCTTTCTATTTCCAGCTGTGCTTGGTTTTTGTGTATTTTTATAATAGGATTAATGTTGTTTTCATTTTCTTTCTCAGAGATACAAAATGCAGGAGCAGAGAGTGTGGATTCTCAACCAGGTCCTTGGCACGCCTCCTCAGGAAAAGATGTACCTGAGTGCAAAACTCAGTAGACTCCTCTTCATCCCTTTTCGGGAGGTTCAGCATTCCTTGTTTGGAAATGACTTTATGTGTCTGTCCCTGCTAATGATGTCATAGTACAGCTTAATTTCAATTCAGTCTTTTAACTTTACCACTAGAGTTGAAAAATAAGGGAGGAGGAAACGATGCATTGTGGTAATTTAGAATGGTGATAGGAATTACCTTCTTCTTGCACGTGGTAATACTTTTAAAAGGTGAATTGTTTTATTTATTTGTATATTTTGTAAAGAATAAAGTTATTGAAGGAAATGTAAAGTTAACTACATGATTTAGCATATTCAAAAGCATAATACAGACATTAATATATTTTATTAACAAAATTCTAAACATTTTTAACACCTCACACATTCAATAAATGTTGAGTAGTTATGAATCACTGCTCTTCTATATAATGTTAATGGTTTCTTGGTGAGGTAGTCTCTCTTGCTGACTCAGGATTTTGCTATGAATATATATACACACCCTGCTTGGATTTAAATTCTTAAAGGATAGCAGAGGTTATGTCCTCTTAATTTTCCAGTTCTAATATTCTTTTTACTATAATAACCACAGAAGTTCTTTCTCACATTTCTGGTAACCTACCTATCCCAATTCCTATACAAACTCTCTAAATTGGTTGGTTTATTATTAGACTTTGTTTTTCATTGCCCCTCACTCTCAACCTGAAGGAACCTGTAGAGCATTTATTCTACGTCTTCATTGTAGACATACAATACCACAGTTTTTATCAAAGTAAAGTTTTCTAAACCTGTAGTCCCCACAGATATATAAAGCATATATGGATGGGATTCTTGCAATCTGTAAAACTTTTGAAATTTTTTGTGAATTTTTTTGTATGGATTTATTTTTGGGGGAGGGGATACTAGGGTTTATACTTTGTTTTATATTCTCAGAGAGGCCTGTGATCCTGTAAAACTCCAAGAACTATGGATTTAGAGGATATTTGATATTTTATACCATAAAACAAGTTGCATACCACTTAAAACAAGTTGCATTAGGTTATAGAACAGAGTCAGAGTGATTTCAAGGCATACTTGGCTCTTTGGTAAGATTCATTCAAAGGGAGAGATTATTGATTGTATCATATCCAGTATTTTAAAGTCTGTGGACTGGATATTTTCCCTTATTTTAACATAGCACCAAAGGAATTCACTAGAACTAAGTAGAAACTGTCCCTTCCTACACAGTCCTTTCCCCCAGACCTGTACCTTGAGAGTCTGTCTTCTACTTTCCCCCTTACCCAAACAAAACACTAACGGACCTGCAGGTTTGCTTCTTTATGTCTGTTCCTCCACTGAACAAAAGTAACCCAAAGTAGTGGTTATGTTCACCTGGATGATAAAACTACTTTAAAACTATTGAAAATTTACCAGTTATCAGGTAGCCAGCCTAGTCAAATACTGCTTAACTTTTGAATTTGGGTGTCCATTTTCTTCCTCAAATTTGGGAAGTTTGTGGCCATTGTTTCTTCAAATAAGCTCTCTGTCCCTTTTGCTTCCACCATTATCCCACATCCTGAACATCTGTTCCCATACATTTTCCCCAGATATCTGCTTATATAAGTTAGAAAACTCAAGTGGTTCTTTTGAGTGTGATGAAGCTCCTCATGGGCCACACTTTTTACCTCACATTAGGGATCTGCTGGGACTTGAGTCTAGTTACAAGTCTAGGAGCATAGAGCAGTGGTGGGGTGGGTCCTGAGGAAAATCAGCATTGTCTTGCTTGGCAGCTGTCTCAGTGGAGGTCATTATTATTTCCTCAGGCAATGCAGGATTAACCCCTCAGACAGAGTTGGAAAGGCCATTACCAACCCCAACAAGGTTGAAGAGGCCACCTCAGCTGGCAGAAACAACTCATCAGAATGTAGGACCCAGCACTTTGGGAGGCTGAGGTGTGTGGGACTCTTGAGCGTAGAAGTCCATGACCAGCCTGGGCAACATAGTGAAACCCTGACTCTACGAAAAAATATAAAAATTAGCCTGGCATGGTGGCATGTGCCAATAGTCTCAGCTACTCGGGGGTGCTGAGGTGGGAGGATCACTTGTGCCCAGGAAGTCAGCGTTGTAGTGAGCCAAGATCATGCCATTGCACTCCAGCAGCCTGGGCAGCAGTGAAACTGTCTCAAAAAAAAAAAAAAAAAAAAAAAAAAAGACCTCAAGGTTCCTGGCTTCACGGTCTTCCCACATGTCCCCATTCCAACTTTTAGAATCTCACTCTCAATCACTGTGGCCCATTGTACCAGTAGACACAATGAGGCAGAGTTCACCTTTTGTAATTGCACCAATCAAATGATAAAGACTGGTGTTTAATTTTCAGCAATTTTAGGCTCATGGCTACAGGAGAAGATCCTCTTTCAGGGCACACCTAGAAGCCCTTAGGTTACTTATGTGGAGCTTGAGCCAGGAATTTGAGTTTCTGAAGTCATCCTTTTTTTTTTTTTTTTTTTAAATAACTTTGACCAACAATATTAGGAGCAACCAACCAACATTGTTACATTTCTTAGAGTTCCGCAAATATTTTAAAATATTATAGGGCTGGCCATGGTGGCTCATGCCTGTAATCCCAGCACTTTGGGATGCTGAGGTGGGCGTATCATGAGGTCAAGAGTTCGAGACCAGCCTGGCCAACATGGTGAAACCCTGTCTCTGCAAGAATACAAAAATTAACCAGGCGTGGTAGCACATGCCTCTAATCTCCGCTACTTGGAAGACTGAGGCAGGAAAATCGTTTGAACCCAGGAGGCAAGGCTGCAGTGAGCCAAGATCGTGCCACTGCACTCCAGCCTAGGCGACAGAGCAAGACTCCTTCTTGGAAGGGAAAAACAGGGAGTATTATATACAGAGTCACTAAGTTCCTCACCTCTAAGAAGTAGTTGATTAGGAATATCCAATGCAGACATTTTGCATATCTCTATGAACAGTTCATGTCATGGATAATCAGTGCTCTCTGTACTATTGAAAGGAGAGCCAGGCTGGGCGCAGTGGCTCATGCCTGTAATCCCAATACCTTGGGAAACTGAGGCAGAAGGAGCACTTGAGACCAGAAGTTTGAGACCAGCCTGGGCAACATAGTGAGACCTCATCTCTACAAAAAAAAAAAAGTTAATTTGGAGGGCTGAGGCAGGAGGATGGCCTAGGAATTCAAGGCTGCAGTGAGCTATGATGATGCCACTGCACTCCAACCTGGGCAAGAGTGAGACCCCATCTCAAAACAAAAAATTAAATAGGTAGAGCCTTTAGCATTTTTAAATCTAATCAGGCTAGAGAGCCAATTCCAGGAACCCCAAAACCAACTCAGGAAACTCATCCTTAAAATTTGATTCCTCTAGAACCACCTCTGGTACCAAAATCTGTATTAGCATTCTCTAGAGAGACAAAACCAGTAGACTATATGCAGATGGTCCGTGACTTATCATGGTTCAACTTGTGATTTTCAACTTCAGGATGGTGTGAGAGCAATATGCATTCAGTGAAAAGTTTACTTTGAATTTTAATCTCTTCACAAGATAGCAATACTCTGCTGTGATTATGGGCAGTGGCAGCAAGACACAGCTCTCAGTCAGCCATGGGATCACAAGTAAACAACTGACACTCTTCAGTATACTCTGTTCGGTAAATCCCATGAGATATTCAACACCTTATTCTAAAAGAGGCTTTGTATTAGATGATTTTGTCCAACTGTAGGCTAACGTAAGTGTTCTGAGCACATTTAAGTAGGCTTGGCTAAGCTCTGACATTGAGTGAAATAGGTGTGTTAAATACATTTTTCAACTGACAATATTTTAAATTTACAATGGGCTTATTGGGATGTAACCCCATTTAAAGTTGATGAATATATATATATATATGGATGGGGGGATGTTTGTTAGGAGAATTGGCTTACGGTATTATGGAGGCTGAGAAGTGCCACCATAGGCTGTGTGCCAGGGAAACTAGGAGCATGGCTCAGTCCAAGTCTGAAGGCCTGAGAATCTGGTTGGAGTTCCAATATCCAAGAGCAGGAGAAGATGGATGTCCCAGTTCCAGAGGAGAGAGAATTCACTTTTTCTCTGCCTTTTTATCTGGCCCTCAGCCAATTGGATAGCAGCTGCCCACATTGGGTGAAGGAGATTCTGACTCCGTTCACTGATTCCAATACCAATCTCTTCCAGAATTACTCACAGATATCCCAGAAATAATGCTAACCAGCTCCCCTGGAATTCCTAAATCCAGTCAAGTTGAAACTTAAAATTAACCTTCACAAACATTGTCTTGAGAGCCTGGCAGAATTTTATTCAGAAAATCTATTGAGGAACTGCCATTCACTCAGTAAATATTTAATGAGCATCTATTGTGTGCCAATGACTGTTTTAGGCACTGATAGGTACTACCAATGTGGAACTCATACTGTAGATAAAGAAAACAAGCAACTAATATATTTTGAATATCAGCTAATCACAATGCAAAGGTGTAAAACATATAGTCCCCACTCTTGAAGAAATTAGGTCTGCAGACAATACAAATAGATAAGCAAGTATTTGCAATACCATGTGACTTAGGTTGTTATCATTAAGTAAGCATTATTGCTGAAGATTACAGAGGGATGCTGAAGAAAGCTACATCAAGAAGCATTGGAGTTGGCTTTGATTAGCAAACTCTCAGACTCATGAAAAGTCTGTTCAAAAGCCTCAAAAGTCAAAGGCATTGTTAGTAAAGCAAGAGCACAGCTAGATGTGATGACAAATCGTTAGAGCCAGCGTTAGAAGTTGCTGGAACAAGGAGGGACAATTTTATCAAAGACCTTATACGGACACATGCAGAAACTATGTTCGGTTTTTTAAAGAACTAAAAAGGGCAACTTTTACCATCCATTATAATTAAATTTCTCTAACCATGTCTTCATCATAATAATCACTAACATATGTTAAGTACCTGTGTGGCAAACATTGTGCTGATGGGATCATAGGCTGAGTCATTCCTCCTCACCACATCCCTGAGGTAGGTGCTATTTTACCTTCATTTTACAGATGAGAAACATGAGAGGTTCAGAGATTTAGGTGATTTACTCACTTCGCTAGTGAGAAAGATATGGGACTCACTCTGGTCTTTCTGATGCCACAGTCTTTGTTCATATCCACTGTGCCTGTTAGAAATCACTTCGCTCCATGTAACAAAAAACCTGGAAAACACTAAAGTTTGTTTTCCTCAAATAAGAAGTTCAGAGGAGTTGTTGCCTTGAGGCTGCCATCGAGGACACAGGCTCCTTCTCTTGCTGGGCTCTGTCGTTAATGTGCCCCTCTGACCTTGGGCAAACTCATTAAATGCCTGCTCTGTCCCGGCATCCTATCTTCATTCCAGGCAAAAAGAAAGGGAGGAGCAAAAGCCAAAAGCCTTTCCGA